CCACTCATCATTAAATCTTTGTTCAAGCCCTTATCACTTCTCACCTGTGCTATTGCAGTTGCCTCCTAATTGGTCTTCCTGCCACAAATCTCTCCCTTCTCCAATCCATTCTCTACAAGCCACCTAAGTGTTTTTTTTAAAGCATTGTCCTGCCCATGTTACTTCCCTGTTCAATATGTTCTAGTGCCTCCCTAATTGGCATTTTAAAAATCAAGTTTTATTTCAGTAACATTTTGTTAACATTTAAAAATGAACATTATTTTCTCTTCTTATCGCCTCTCCCTTATTAAAAAAAAAACCTTAAGGCAAATATCCATAGTCCAGCAAAACAAATTCTCACGTTGGCCATGTCCAAAAATATATGCCTCACTCTGCAGATTGAGTACATCTACCTTTCTGTCAGAGAGTGGGTAGCATTTTTCATCATCAGTCCTGTGAAATCGGTTGATTACTAAGTTGATAAGATTTACTTCATTATGGATAGTAAGCAAATTATGATATATTAATATATTGGAATATTCTTGTGCATTAAGAAATAATGAAGAAGATAGTCTCAAAGAACAAGATTTTTATGCACTTACGCAGCTTATGCCAGTTGAAAATTTATGTCTATCTTATATATACCTATATCATATATATCTGATTAATAGATAGTATGTGGCATTTAAGGCATTTAAAACTTTTTACTATCTAATCTAGTCTACCTTTTCATCCTTATTTTAAGTTACTCCCCTTCATACCTCTCCAGTCCAGCCAAACTGGTCTTTCTCCTGTCTTCGCAGTTGTACGTTCTGCGCCATTTCTTGGACCAGACTCCTATGTGTTCAGCATCTCCTTTTAGAAACTCTAGTTTTATTGAGATCTCAGTTTAAATGGATTTTCCTGCGTGAGGCCTTTTATATTCCCCATAATTCCCTCACCCCCCCCAAAAATTATCTTGAATATACTTTGTATGTGCTTACTTTGTGTATGCTAATATATACCCTCTTTTTTTTTTTTTTAGTAGAATATAAGGTACTGAAAGGCAAGAATTTTTTTTTTTTGTTTCTCCAATGTTTATCACTCTTCTAGAACATAGTAGTTGGCCAGTAATAAAAAACTTGTTGATTGATTTCTATGTTTGTATAGATTAAATAGTACAAAAAAGAGATATTTTAAATTGTAAAACTTTAATTTGAGCCAGATAAAGTTTGTTTTTTTACCTTTATTTCTTGTATATTTTTTATGCTTATTACATAGTTTTCAGTAAAATAAAAGTTTTAATGACATTGTTACTGATTTAAAAATGATCATGGTTCTTAAGAGTAATATTTTTGACATCACAAATTAGTGTATTTTTCCATGTTGGGATAGAATACTGTAGGGATCCTAAAAGGTAGAATGCCTCTGACTATTGATTATTTGCCACAATCCAACTCTGTGTTTTTGTTGTGAATGGTACATCTTTAAGTGTCTATCTGTAGCTACTTAGTTTCATTGATTATAACATAGTTTACCCAAGATTCCTTCCTTCATAAAACCAGAGACCATATTTCTAGTTTTCTGGATAGATCACTCTAAATCAATTTCCACTACTTGAAATAATTCTTAAAATGCTTCCTTACGTGTGTGTGTGTGTGTGTGTGTGTGGTGTACACATTAAACCAGCTATGTGCCAGGTACTGAGCTAAAATACTAGGGATGTGAAAAGAATCCAAAGACAGTCCTTACCATAAAGGAACTCAGAATCTAGTGGGGAGACAACATGTAAACATATATGTGAACAAACTTTATAGATGATAAATAGGAAGTATTTATCTGTATTTCTTACTAACAGAGAGAAGGCACTAGATTTGGGGGTGGGGGGGGACGAGTGAGAAAGGCATTCTGTAAAAAATAGGATTTTAGCTGGGACCTAAAGGAAGCCAAAGAAGCCAGTAGGCAGAGTTGAGCAGAAAGAGCATTCCAGGTATTGGGGACAGCCAAAGAAAATGCCCAGAGTCAAAATAGAGTGTCTCATTTGTGTGACAGCAAGGAAGTCTGTGTCACTGGATTGAAGAGTATGTGCCAAGGCTTAAGTTATAAGAAGACTAGAAAGGTAGGAGGAAGCTGTGTTCTGAAGGGCTTTGAATGCCAAGCAGAACATTTTGTATTTGATCCTAGAGGTAATAGGGAGTTTGAATAGCAGGGTGACATGGTTGGACCTGCCCTTTAGTGCCTAAATAGAGGATGGATTGGAGTCTGGAGAAACTTCCGAGGCAGGCTGACTCACCAGCAAGTTAATGCAGTAGTCCAGGTGTGAGGCCTGAACTAGAATGGTAGTAGTGTCTGAGGGAGCAGGGGTGGTGTATTTAGAGAGATATTACAAAGGTGAAATCAACTGACTCTGTTAACAGGTTAGATTTAGGGGAGGGAGTGAAAGATGGTGAAGAATTTAAGATTAACTCCTATGTTGCTAGCCTGAGGGACTGGGAGGATGGTGTTGCCCTCTGCCCAAATGGAGAAGATAGGAGGGAGGGGTAGGATTTGGAGGAAAGATAATGAGTTCTATTTTGGACCTGTCAAGTTTAAAATATCTATTAGACATCCAGTTCAAAATGTCTGTAAGTCAGTTGAAGTAAAGAGGGAGAAGAGGGCCCAAGACAGAATTCTGTGGAACATACACACATACATGCATGCATGCATATATACATACATACATACACAGAGGAGTCATCTTTTAAATTGAGAATATTTATTAGTCGGTTTTAGGATCCTAATGCTTTTTCCCTTATTTTTTAACAGTAAAAATATTGTGTATAATTCTTTACCTCCATTATTTTTTTCCATAATTTTTTTTAAATTAAAAAAGCATTCTCTCCATTGACCATTTAAAGTTTCTGAATTTGAAGAAAAACCTGTTTTAATTCGCTTTTCTCCTGTTGATGACTTGGAATAGTCTTTTGTTAAAAAAAATTTTTTTTAACCATAATTTATATTGATATCTTTTTGTTTTTAAATTATCCTCATTTCATAATTTATCTTTTCCTACTCCCTATCCCACAGAGAGTCATGTATTGTAATAAAGAATAAAATAAATAAAAAATAAATAATAAAATAAAAAAGAGTTAGAGAGTGGGGAAGCAGTTGGATAAAGCTAATATATCATTCAAGTCTGAGAGTATATGCCATAATCCCCACTTCTCTGTAAAGAGAAGTGGGCCTTCTTATACTGATTTTCTGGAGCTATTCTTGAAATTACACATGTAACAGCATTTAGTTTTTAATTTTACTTTCCACTTACCTTATTGCCTTGTTTAAATTGTTTATCTGGTTCTTCATTTTGCGTCAGTTCATATAAGTCTTCCCCATGCTACTCTGTATTATTGATTATTTCTTATAGTGTGGTAGTATTCCATTATATATTATATATATAATATATTATATATGGACCATAATCCATTTAGCCATTACCTACTTAATGATGTATTTTATTTGTTGTGTGCTACTTCAAAAAGTAATAATATAAATATTCTTTATATTATACTTTTCTATCTTTTACCCTGAGCTATAATCCTAACAAGCATACTCTCTAGGTCAAAATAGATATTTTTAGTTAAAGTTAATAATTTATAGTTGCAAAATAATGTTTTAAAATTTAATTAAAGATGTTGTAATCATTGTGTTTTATATCTATTTTAATGAGCTCCAGGAGGTTCTGGGGATGTATCACAATTCTGTAACTTAATTATCAAATTTAGAAATTTCCTGAGACATCACATTTAATTTTTAAGTGAAGTCTTTCGCCCCTCATACCACTTTTGGAGCTGCATAAGTATCTGTCATTTGAAAATTCGTAACTTTTAATTCTTGTGGTAACATACTTAGATATCAGCTCTCAAATAATAAGTGACAGTATTTTGGTGACAAAGGGAGCAGTTATCCTTAGAACCAGGTTTATTTTTTAGATGCCTCAGCTTTTGTATTATACCCAGGCAATTTATTATTCAAACATTGACTTGAACTTATGGTGCAATGCTGCTTTTAATCCTTTGTAATAATTTCTGATGTATTTTAAAATTTAATTTGAACTTAATATTTTAGATTAGACTTGGTTTAAAGAAGCAAACTTTAAGCAGCAAGCCCGTAGCACAGCATCTTGGGTCTATATTAATTGCATTTTGACAGTATATAGTAAAATACTGATTATTTGTCCTTAGTGATGAGTGTGTTGGCAGAGAAAATGCCCCTATAGTGGAAATGATTGTGAAATAATTTCTTTATATGTCTTGATACTTAATTTTAAAATGTTCATTCAATTTTCTGGGGCATTACAATATTTCAAGTAAATCATTAAAGACCCAGCTACTACACTACTCATATTTTGGCGATTGCCCCTTACTGCTGCCTCTTAAAATAAGCTCAATGGTCTAACAATTTCGATTTTTGAATTATCACCTTTCCAGTTAGCTTATTGAAGCCTTCTACTCTTCATCAGGATTCATAGAAACTAGATTACCTACTGTGCTTCTAATAAGAATTTGAAAGTAACATTTTCTGTAGGATATTGGGTTTACTGAATTATGGCACATGACTTTTTCTTCCTATGTTGCTAATGACATAGTATTGACAGAGTAAATACATTGACTCTATGGTCTTACATATATGAATATGTCTGTGTATGTGTATTTGCATTTAATTGTAGCCTTGGGGGAGGGGGAAGAAAAATAAAAAGTGCATAGCAGAGAACAAAAAATGTAGACGGAAGCACAGAAAAGTGAGGTTGCTTTGAAAGCAATGTGTAGGATTTATTACATAGGTTTTTATGAAATGAATATTTGTTGTTTTATATTGAATCCTCTCTTAATGTTCTACTGTGTACGTGGAAATGTTCTTTTTTTCCTCATTTTGTATTTAACTTCAAAATTAATTAAAAAATTTTTTAATAGTGTAAATGTCATCATTTTGGGGTACATATGAATTACTTTCTTAAAAAAATACTTAGAAGGTCATTGAAGCATTTCATTGCTCTTGTCTTTTAGCTTGATCCAAGGTTCATTCAGCCTTTTTTGGTAGAGTGTCGACAAACTGTTGCCAAACTGGATAATCAGAACATGAAAGCCATTAAAGGACTTGAAGACAGGCTTTATGCACTGGATCAGATGATAGCTAGCTGCAGCCGATTGGTAAATGAACAAAAAGAACTTGCTCAGGTAATTAATTACATCCCTCATACTGGAAAAGAAAACTTCTGATTGTTCTGTATAACATCCGTGCACCATCATCAACGAACATTCCTTATATCAATTAGTGATTTTATATTATTGTGTCTTTTTAATGATAGATTAAGGGACAGCTGGGTGGCATAGTGGATAGAACACTGGCCCTGAAGTCAGGAGGACCTGAGTTCATATCCAGCCTCAGACCAAACACTTGAGACGTATTAGCTGTGTGACCTTGGGCAAGTCACTTAACCCTGATTGCATCACTAAAAAAAAAAATGATGGATTAAAGATGTAATATAACTTTGATAACTAATGTAAGATCAATATAAAAATGAGTTAATTTAAAAACTAATTGCAAATGAGGATATTCACATTAACCAGTGGATATATTTGTTGAAAAAGGCTAGGGTAGGTTTTGTTGACCTAAAAGTGGCTTAAATATCATTAGAATTTCATGATTAGATTGGTGATGGAAATCTACTTTAAGGTAATCAGTCATTTTTTGTAATGTTACCAGCTATGTTTGAGATTAGTCATTTCATAAGCCTTTAGAAAATTTTTAAAAGCTGGAAAAAAAAAAACCACATGGTTTGAAATAGGTGTGATTGATCATACTTTAAATGCAGTCCTATTTTATTACATTCAGTTCTGGGTATCACATTTTAGAAATGACATTGCCAGACTGAAAGGCAACTTGGCATGGTGGATATAGTGTTAACCTTGGAGTCAGAAAGGCCTTGGATTGAGATCTGCCTCTGACACTTAGAGACTGTATAACCCCAGAGCAAGTCAGCGCTCTAAGATTCTAAATTACAGATGAATCGGTGAGCTGCATTGGTAGAGGGAGTTTTTACGCTATAATATGATGAAATCATACTTTTAGATCTGAGAGAAGAAAAGATAGACAATAGTAGTCCAGGAGAACGCAACTAGATTGCTAAGCCATGTCCTGATGAATGGTTTCAGGGACTAAATGTTTAACTCTAGAAGGGACCAAGAGGAAACTTGACAACCATCTCTAAATATTTGAAGAGGTAAGGTTTGAACTAGAAAATTCCAGAAGTTCATTTCTAACTTTAAAATTAATCTGATTTAGTCAGTACTCATACCATGCCTAAAGTTTTATTGAGTGTCGTATTTGTGTGTTTTTAAATTGTATTTGTGAGTATATCATGTGTATTTTCTGATTTAGTCAATACACATACCATGCCTAAAAGTTTTATTGAGTGTCATATTTGTATGTTTTTAAATTGTATTTGTGGGTATATTATGTGTATTTTCTGATTTAGTCAATACTCACACCATGTCTAAAGTTTTATTGAGTGTCATATTTGTGTGTTAATTTCAATTGCTGGTATATTATGTGTATTTTTCTTTGACCAAAAATAAAAAAAGATTTTGTGTTAAGGATATGGAAATCTTGCATCTAAAAAAAGATGCACATCAATTCATGAATGTAGGAGAATATAAGCTCCTTGAGGGTAGGGACTGGTTTGTCTTTTCATTTTCAACACCTAACACAGAACCTGATAAATATAGAATTTATCAGGCTCTGTGTTATCATTATTTCACTGGTATTTGTCCAGTTTATAATTTATATATATGTACATCTAAAAGAAACATTTTATTTTTAAAGGGATTTTTAGCTAATCAGAAGAGAGCTGAAAACTTGAAAGATACTTCTGTGCTACCTGATTTGTGCCTGAGTCATGCAAATCAGTTGATGATTATGTTGAATAATCATAGAAAACTATTGGATATTAAACAAAAATGTACCACTGCCAAACAAGAACTTGCAAATAATCTACAAGTCAGATTGAAGTAAGTGATTTCTAGTATATTTCTAATTACAACATTTTATTTTTATGCAACTCGAGTTTAAAACTTCCTAATAAAAGGATTTAACAAATTTTTGTCAATAATACATTGTCGTACAAGTTGATTGATTAACACAAATGAAGTTGGGTTTTCTCAGCTAGATGAGCTACCATTTTTATGTCTGCTGTTTCTATGTGTGTTCCTAAATTTAATCAGAAAGTATCTATGGGTAGCAAATGTTTTGTGGCTTTTTAAAAACCTGTTATATACTCGCATTTATGGTTTATCCACAGGTGGTGTTGCTTTGTTATGCTTCATGCTGACAAAGAAGGAGAGAAGCTACAAGCTTTGCTCCGCCTTGTAACAGAGCTGCTAGAACGAGTCAAGATTGTAGAAGCTCTTAGTACAGTACCACAGATGTACTGCTTAGCTGTTGTTGAAGTTGTAAGAAGAAAAATGTTCATAAAACACTACAGGGAGGTAAGCAGGTTAGATTTTGTGTTTGTGTGTGTGTGTGTATGAGACTTGAGGAATTGTTGGACTACATTAATGTATATGTATTGCTTTTTATAGTGGGCTGGTGCTTTAATCAGTGATGGAAAACATTTATATGAAGCTGAAAAGTCAAAAAGGGAATCTTTTGGAAAACTGTTTAGTAAGTATCCTTTAAACTTGACCCATGTTACTTTTATGGGTTTCATATGTTCAATCCACAAGGTTTACAAAATAAGGTGTTGATATTTGGATGTTTGCTTCCCAGAGAGCATTTGAAATTTCACTCACTGGAAAATATTGCATAAAATGTACATTTACAAAATTTTCTAATTGATTCCTTTTAGCATATATAGTTAGATCTATGATTTATCCAAATAAATATTGACTTTTAAAGATCCTTGTAAAAGTAGGAACTTTTTATTAACACTGTTTTTGGGTACCAGGACTAATGTTGCCTGTATAGCATGATAATTATAAGGAAGGATATTTATGTAGTTCATGCCCTTTACCAGTATATAACATTGTTAAAAAGCAGTCATCGGCTTTGGGGTAGACACTTCTGTCCCCGTCGACTTCTTGCTGACTACCCACAAACAAACCCTGTATATTTAAAAAATCATTTACGTGATCCTACCATCCCTGTTATCTTTTATCTTATATCTTTCCTCTTCTTCATGGCTAGACTCCTTGAGAATGCTATCTGTACTTAATGTCTCCACTTCCTCTCCTTTTACTCAATTCTGAACTTTCTGGAATCTGGATTCTGACTTCATTCTTCATCTGAAATTGTTTTCTCTAAAGTTACCATGGATTTCATAATTACTAAACCTTTTTTCAGTCCTTCAGTTTTGTCCTTCTTGTAGCATTTGATACTGTTGCTCACCCCCTTGTGAATACTCTTTACTCTTTGGGTTTTTGTGCCACTGCTCTCTCCTTGGTTTGTCATTGTGACTTTCCCTTTTCAGACTACTTTGCTGGTTCTGTGTCTGTATTTCAACTACTTACCTTGAGTGTCCACTCCCCAGGGTTCCATCTTGGTCCTTCTTCCTTTTCTGCTGGCTAAGATTTCATTTGGTGATGTCATTAACTCCCTTAAATTAGACAGACCCATTCATTTTTCTAGCTCTAGACTTGTCTATTGAACTTTTTCTTATAACCATTTGCTTTCTCAAACACCCAGAACAGAACAGAACAGAACTCATCATCTTTCCCCTTCATACCTTCCCCTTTCCCAAACTTCCCTGTTACTGTCAAGTGTATTATCTTTCTTCCCATCATCCTGGGATCATCCTTGATTTCTCACTCAAACTTACTTTATACATCCAGTCTGTTGCCACATCTTCTTTCTACATTTACAACATCTATGGATTTCTTTTCCCTCTCTTCACTCACACAAAATACAAATGTAATTCAGTCCCTCACCATTACGTGAACTTTTGCAATAATCTTCTAACTGGTCTTCAGGCCTCAGATCTCTCCCTACTCTAATCTGCCCTCCATTCAGCTGCCAATGTGATTTTTTCTAGAATATACATCTGACTGCCCATATCCCTCCTCTTCCTCTCCATTCCCCTTTTTCTCCCTGCCGCCTTTCATTTAAGTCCAGTTGTTCTTTATTGCTTCTAGGATGGAGTGTGAACTCTTCTCAAGCTTTTATAGGCTGGCCCCTTCCTATCTTTCTAATCTTAGATTTAACTCATTTCCACACACTGATTCACTCACTAATGCTGGCCTACTTACAGTTTTGTGTACTCATCTTCTCTCTGTTCTCTGCTCCTGGAATACACCTCTTACACCTTGGCTTCCTTTAAAACTCAGCTCAAATTCCACTTTTGTTAGGAAGTCATCCTGGAAGTGCTAATGCTTTTTCCTCTCAGATTGTTTTCTATCTAATCTGTATATATCTTGCATTATTTTATATATTGTTTCTTCCATTAGTATATAACTTTCTTGAGAGTAAAGACTACTTTTTTTCTTTTTATTTTATTTAATAGATAAGGAAACTGAGTCCAAGAGGGGCCCATTAGTTGCATATGAATGATCACAAAGCCAGGTGCAGAACTCTGGTTTCCTCGTCTCAGTTGTGTCCTTTCTGCTTATCTGCCTCCATATTATCTTAATAACCTTCATCTTTCTCCCATATCTTCTGTATCAGAATCATTAGGCACTGGTTATTGGCCTAAGCAAGCTGTAGTGGAGTTCTAGAATGGGGTCATAAGGTTCTTTCTAATACATGAGGCATTTATTTCACATAACTTTCATGTGTTTAAAAGAACATAATTTATCCTATTATATATGTAAGTTCATAAAACAGCAAGCTAGGTTATAACAGGCATCTACTCTGTTTTCAGCTTTTGTCATTTGGCATCCAGCAGATAGTAGATTGCAGATAGACTAATAAACTGATAAGAATTTGACCTTTTTAAAGTAAAATTTATAGTTATTTTCACTTTAAAGGAGTCATTGATTTATGCTTTTAAAAACTGATTGATGTCAGTACATTGTTACTCTATTAGAAAAACATGGATTTGCCTGCATTTCTAAAATAAAAAAATAAAATAGGTAACTTGGTAATCAAAGGCTTCATTTATCATGATTGTGTCTAATTTTCTTAAGCAATAAAACCAGTTTTAATAATTTGTTTTGAAAAATAAGATTTTTCCCCTTATAGAATATGCAAAAAATATAGAATCTTGACTCTTAGAATTCGAAAGGATTTCAGAGGTCACTCTTTTATTTTGCCTTTTAAATTTCCTTTTAAGAATTAATTTGTTTTTCATTTTTAATAAATTTTTATTAATATCTTGTTTTTTACGTAACTAGCTTTCCCTGCTGTCCTTTCCCCACCCCTTCCCAGAATGCCTTCTATATAACAAATAGTGTTTTTTAAAAACAAAAGAAAAAGGAAGAGGGAAAAAAATCAACATAACTGATCAGTACATTACAAAAGTCTGAAAATATATGCACTGTATAACATTTGTGTCCCATGTACTCCCCCCACCTCCAGTTTACTCCCCTCCCATAAAGGGATAGCAATGTCTTCACATCACTTCTTTTGAGCTATGCTTCTTGTTTCTAATTTTGCAACATTCACTTTTGTGTGTGTGTTTTATTTACATTGGTTTAGTTAAATGAGTATATTGTTTTCCCAGCTTTGCTCTGCATCAGTTCATGTAGTTCTTTAAATTCTTTTTATTCTTCACACCCATCATTTCTTATAGCACAATAATATATGTGTGTATATATATGAATATATTCTATTACATTCATGTACCATAGTTTGTTTAGCCATTTCCAAATTAATTGATATCTATTTTGTTTCCTATTTCTTTGATATCACCAAAAGTGCCACTATAAATGGTGTCTAGGTGCTTTCTTCTTATCAGCTAACTTTTAATATCATGGGCAGGTGAATCAGAAGGTGTTTTTCCCTTAACAGCACTAATGCTGACACTCAAATAAAGATCTACTGGTACTGAATTCTTAGCTTTAAATGGACATATGGAAGTTTTACACTTTCATCTTTCAACATACTGCTCATAGATCCTTCTTATCAGCTTAAGTGGGCTGCTCAGAGATTTGGAAGGGCAGATTGCAGAGAAGGACTATATTTATTTTGTGAGGCAACTGGGGTTAAGTGTCTTGTCTAGAGTCATGTCTGAGGCTGAATTTGAACCCAGGTCTGCCTGACTCCAGGGCCAGTGCTGTATCCACTGTGCCACCTAGCTGCGCTCCCTCCCCCTCTTTTTTTTACAAGGACTATTTGTAAAGATAGTGATAGCATTCATTTAGCATCAACTACATACAAAGCACTTTGGATCTGAGTAAATAAAGACAAAATATAAAAAAAAATCCCTACCTTTAAGGAGTTAACATTAAAAGAGGGAGGATAATATTTATACAGATAAGTAAATAAAATAGAATTTGTGCATAGAGAAAGCACTAAGGCTTCCTAAAGGAAGTGGATCAATGAAATCTATTAGAGCATGTCTTTTGAAGGCTTAAGAGTTGAATATAAAATTTTTAAGGGAGGAATTATTTAAAAATTTTTAAAATTTTTTCACAAATGTCATAATTTTTGCCTTTCATTTGTTATTCCCTTTGTTGTAATCATATTGTTAATCTCTTCACACAGGGAAATCTTTTTTAAGAAATCGTCTGTTTAGGGGACTTGACTCCTGGCCTCCTTCTTTTTGTGTATGTATGCATTTTCTTAAACATTAAATTCTGCATGTTTTGAATCAACTACAATTTTGAAAGTATTTGGCATTAGGGAAGAACCTGATGTGGAAACTGTCAGTAAAATTAGGTGGCAGCTTTTAAAATAGTCCCTATAAATATAATGAACTTTGTGCTCAGAGGTATTTTTTAATTTAGCTCTTTAAAAGAGTCAACTGATACAAAGTCTTAAATTTTTTTCATAATAGTATTACCAGGATTTTTCTTGGTATTAGAGGGTATCTGGTTTTGGTTTTTTGGAAAATTAAGGAAACTATATACCCTGAATAATGCTATACGAGTATATATGTATATGTGTATGTGTCTATATTTATTTATATGTCTACCAATACACATATAACATAGGAGTATATGTGAGTTATAAAAATAAGATAAACGAGAAGTTAATTGACAAAATACAGGTTGCATGATCTCTAATAGATAATAGCATCAATTTGTTGATTAGATAGTGCTTCAGAATCCTTTGTCACCATATATCACTGATAAGGCCTTTTTAAAATACTGTACTATAAGATCAAAATTAGCTGAGACTTATGGTGAATCTTAGCAATTTCTATTTAGAAGAATAACAGAAAATTGAACTCTTCAATAGAAAGATTTAGTGTCTAACAACTTGATTTGATTATATTGAAACTCATCATATGTATTGATTTCTGCTTTTTTATTATGTTTTTGTCATTATTCTATGCCCATAATTATGTTTCTATGTTAATTGTCTTATCCTCAGACTCGAAAACCTCGGAAATTTGATGGTGAACTTCCAGATATTTCCTTAACTGATTTGAAGTTTCTGCAGTCTTTCTGTCCTTCAGAAGTACAACCATTACTCAGGTAAATAGTAACTATGCTTGATTTTACATGTTCATTTTAATGTTTAGATGTTCATTTGTTTACATTATACAATACTGAATTTTGGGGTTGTAGTTAATGAAATTTTTAGGAAGATAATTGTAGAAAAAACAAAATACGGCTTCAAGATCTTCTTTAGTGGAGTCCCATGGATTTCACTGGAGGAATACCAACTTAATTAGGCAGAAATAAAGCTCAGTATGAGAAATAAAACCAATTATCAGATTAGTGGTCTACGCTTAAACAGCTTTTGCACTCAGGAGATAAGGATTCTAAGTGTACCTACTTAGGTATGCTTTAGTACTTTACCTTGATAATTTTAAAATATTCCTGATACATTAAAAAAATTTTAATGATCTAATTTAACATATGTTTTTAGTATTTCATTGTCATTATGTCATAGAAATTTGAAATAAGAACTCTTCTTCTTCTCAGGGTTCCATTACTTTGTGACTTTGAACCTCTACACCAGCATGTACTTGCGCTACGTAATTTAGTGAAAGCAGCACAAAGTTTGGATGAAATGTCACAGACCATTACAGACCTACTGAGTGAACAAAAGGTAGGGTTTTTTAATTTGGCTTATTTGTGGATAAACATTAGAATATGATTTTTTAATTGAATTCTGTTTTTGTTTTCCTTTTTTACCTCTAGGCTTCCATGAGTCAGACATCCCCACAATCAGTTACTACACCAAGGATGGAAAGTACAACAGGAATTACAACTACTACCTCACCTAGAACTCCTCCTCCACTCACTATTCAGGATCCCCTGTGCCCTCCGGTGTGTCCATTAGAAGAATTGTCTCCAGATAGCATTGATGCCCATACATTTGATTTTGAGACAATTCCTCATCCAAATATAGAACAAACCCTTCACCAAGAATCTTTAGATTTAGACTCTTTAGCTGAAAGCCCTGAATCTGATTTTATGTCAGCAGTGAATGAATTTGTAATAGAAGAAAATCTAGCATCTCCTAATCCTATAAGTGACCCACAAAGTCCAGAAATGATGGTAGAATCACTCTATTCTTCAGTTATCAATGCAATAGACAGCAGACGCATGCAGGATACAAATATATGTGGTAAAGAAGATTCAGGAGACCATGCTTCTCTAAATGTTCAAATGGAAAAATGTAGAGTTGTTGCCCAAGAGTCCCAGTTCAATTTACAAAACATAAAAGAAGACCTGTGTCACTTCAGAACACTTGTGCAGAAGGAACAGTGTGATTTCTCTAATTCTTTAAAATGTACAGCTGTAGAAATACGAAATATCGTTGAAAGAGTAAAATGTTCCCTGGAAATAACACTAAAAGAAAAACATCAGAAAGAACTGCAGTCTTTAAAAAATGAGTATGAAGCTAAGCTCAATGCATTAATAAAAGATAGTGAAGAAAATGAAAAAAAGATTAAAAAATTAAAAGGAGATTTAGTAGGTCTTGAAGAGGTTTTACAAAATAAAGATAATGAGTTTGCTTTGGTTAAGAATGAAAAAGAAGCTGTCCTCTGCCTGCAAAATGAAAAAGATCAGAAGTTGCTAGAGATGGAGCATGCAATGAAGAACCAAAATTTTGAAATTAAAGAACTGAAGCAATCACGAGAAATTGTGTTAGAAGACTTAAAAAAGGTCCATGTTGAGAATGAAGAGAAGTTACATCTCCTTAGGGCAGAGCTTCAGAGTTTGGAGCAGAGTCACCTAAAGGAACTAGAAGATACCCTTCAAGATAAGCACACACAGGAATTTGAAAAAGTTTTGAATGACCACAAGGTTTCTTTAGAGAAATTAAAAAAGGAAAATCAACAAAGACTTGATCAAATGCAAGAATCCCATGCAATAGTTGTCCAAGAAAAGGAACAACAATTACAGGAGTTAAAACTTAAAGTTTCTGATTTGTCTGACCTGAGATGCAAGTTAGAGGTTGAGCTTGCTTTGAAAGAAGCAGAAACTGATGAAATGAAAATATTATTAGAAGAAAACAAAGCCCAGCAGCAGGAAACCTTAAAGGTCCTCATTGAAAAAGAAACCGAAAACTTGAGATCAGAGATAAGCAAGTTAAATCAGAAGATTCTAGATAACAATGAGGACTACCAAATAGGTTTAGCAGAGCTGAAAACGCTAATGACCATTGAAAAAGATCAGTGCATTTCAGAGTTGGTTGGTAGACATGAAGAAGAATCAAATTTGCTGAGAGCTGAACTAAACAAGGTAACATCTTTACATCAACAAGCTTTTGAAGTTGAAACTAAATTGAAAGAACAAATAGTGGAATTGCAGAGTAAGCTGGAGTTGGAATTGAGTGTCCTTGAAAAACAAAGCAATGAAAGAATGGCCCAACAAGAAGAAAAATATGAAGCTACTATCCACAAACTTGAAGAAGACAAAGAGAAAATAGTTATGAATCAAGAACAAGACAGAGAACGACTCGTTCAGAAACTTAATTGTGAAAAAGAGGAAGCTGTTCAAGTTGCCCTAAAAGAATTTGAGTTACAGAGGGATGCTGTTGAAAAAGAACTGTTGGAAAAAATTAAACATCTTGAGAGTCAAATAACCAAAAGGTAAGAATTTAGTTTCCTGAAAGTGTTTATAATTGAAACTAATAGATTAATAGGTTTATATCTCACATTCTCTTATAATTATGGTTTTTATATGATCATATGCCCTAAATATATATGTTAATCTTACAAAATTTGAATGTGTGAGTTTTAACTTTGTTAACTAATTGGTTATTTGGGCTGATGTTTCGAATCATATTCTATGTAATATCCTTTTAAAATTAAGAGGATAGACTAAATGAAAAGTGCATTATGTATGCACATGTGTGTGATTGAAATAACAAATTTTGAAATGTTTTAATTTCATAAATGTAGTTTTTAAAGGTCTGCATTTCTGATAATATGTATGTTATAATTTTCCAGGGTTTTTTTCTCAGTTTACTGTAAGGAAAATGTTGGGAAGAGTCATTTGGTTGTATAGGTAAAAATTTGTGTTTCAACCAGTATATATTTACTGCTGTCTAGTCATTAAAGGAGTTTATAATTTTGAACAGTAATGCAATGACCGTTTAGGAAGTACCAGTAATAGTATCAGGGTCAGTTCTCAAGCTTCATGTAACAATAGTAATAGCTAATATTTATATAGTTATATTAAGATTTTCAAAGGGCTTTACATTACATAAGATTCATTATTGAATCTTTGACATGCAGCCTGCTGTTGTGTGACTCTTTTTGTTAAATATAATTTCATTTGTGAACCCAGTGTTTCACAGCTGTGTGTACCCCTAGATTATAGTATTGAGTTTTAGGATTCATCCTAAATATAGTATAAAGAGAGAATTTCTGGTGGTTATGTTATGAGGACTTTACCTGTGCAAGTTAGAAGTGCCGAAAACCTTAGGTCACTTAGACTATGGATTTTCCTTTTTTGTATGTTTTGTCTCTTATGTATACCAAATACAGTGTATATTTTTCTCAAATAACTATCAGCATAGTCCATTTAATATTGCCTTGACCAATATCATTTTGCAATAGTCATAAATAATTCTAATCATACCCTTTTATGATTTAACAATCCTTTTTTCTGTTCACAACCCTGTTTCCATGAAACCAACTATGTCTTGTAATGTTTTGCCTAATTTAGGGAACCAGTTAATGATGTTAGGCAAGACATGCCTTTACTTTGGAACTTTACTTTGAAATACCATTGTCGTATGACAGTCATGGTATAATTCTACTGTCAAAATCATAGCTATAAGAAATGTATGAAAAATTTACACCACATGTGTTCATTATTATATGTGTACGTATATAGATGTTTGTACTTAATAGAATTAATAAAGCATCTGTATATAAAGGAATTGTATAATACACAGTAGCAAATTAGCAGCTTCTCATGTCTTCAAAGCCATTTGTCTAAGGAATGTGTTTTTCATTTACCATTGTGTACAACTAATGTTGTTCCATGTTTGTTCACTTGTTTCTTCATTTTCTTTCATCCAGCATCTCACCAAAATTCAACCTATTTGTTTCTAAATGCCAAAACCTTACATCTGGTGTTAGAAAATAAGGTTTAAACAATCAAGGAAAATATCATCCTCTTTTTAAACATTGACGAAGTGGTTTGAGAAAAAAGTTGTTTTACTTTGCAGTCCAGTATGTCCTGTTCACAAATGCGTGCTCATTTTAAAATTTGTACCTCTAAGATATCGTATCGATCCTAAAAGTTATATTTCTGTTTTGAGTGTTGTTAATAAACCATAAAATTCACTTTTTTCTTGCAAACTTGTGAACTTGTGATTATAAAAGGCTAATTAGATTCTTCATTGTAATTTTATTTCAGGTTGAAACCTAATTTACCAAAGGAAAATATCTCCACTTTTTTTAAACTGAAAGTTAGTGGGGAAGATAACATTTGATATGCAGAATTTTCATTCATGTGTATAGAATTGATTCAAAATTTATAGCTAGGACTTAACCAATATATATTTGTGTCAGCATCTTTCAGAAATGAATTTTAGAAACCGTATTATTTAGGAAATTTTAAAATTATCATAGAAGATTAGAATTTTCTTTTTTTCTTTTTTTGTATCCCCAGTGCTTAATTAACAAAGTACCTGGTACATAGTACTCACATGATAAATTTTTATTGACTGAATAATAAAATATTTAGAGTAGAGCTATAGTTTAGTTTGTAACATATAGATAAAATAGTATTCAAAGTGAAAGCACTCTGAATTCCAGTTAGATTATGACAAGGGTCCTCAACCAGTAGGCTTTTAGCGTGTTACTTAAGATCTTAAAATTTTATATAGTTGATGTCTAAAAATAATGGCTCCCATTTTATATAATCTTTTAAGGTAATTTCCTCAACCACCATGTGGAGTATTATGCCTATCTTGTAGATGAAGAAACTCAAATTTACATAGAGTTAAATGAATACAAAATCATGCCTACTTCCACTGTACCACTTTGCCACTCTTGTCTCCAAGCAAATGCCATTTCCTTACCTTATTTTCCATATATCACTTGGATTGCCAGTGGGGAGGGAGAGCATAGTTAGTAGCGATAGTAGCAGTAGAGACTTTACTATTAGAATGTTACATTTTTTTCCTGCTTAGAAGCATTGCTAGAGCACCCCTACATGCCTTCCTTTCCCATTCTACCAGCCTCCCCCCACTCATGAAGTCTTCAGGGAAATAAAAAACAAGTCTTAAACAATTAAGAATCTGAACAGTGTAAAGGTACAGTTTGTGTGTTGTATACATTGCTTTTTAGCTCCAATCAGGTATTATGTACTAGTACAAAAATAGCCAAGGAGAAGTGGGTTTTTTGTTTTTGTTTCTTAGAACAGATTTTAAAAAATAACCTTAATCTTTCAAGACTTTTCAAAAGCCATTTGGTCATACTTCATTCCTGAACTTGATCCATCTTCATGTGAGTTGTTGGACCTGGCCATAGGCAAACCACAGTAGCATCAGTTTAAAAGAAATTTTCTAAATTGACATGGGAGATATTCAGTCAAGAGGCTTGAGTTTTGAGAGAGGGCTGTGGTATTTAGACAAAAACTAAAAGGTAGTTAGAAGCTATATAAAAATGCTGACTTCAAGGAATGTTATAACTGGAAGGGACTAAAGCCATTGGTCAAACCTTCTCCTTTTATAGTGGAGAAGCTGGGGGTTTGAAAGATTGAAGTGGAATTTTCCTAAGGAATGAAAGCAAAACCAGTGAAGGAGATTGTGAAAGTACACAACGTAGACTTGAATAGGCTAACCGAGGCTAAAAATAACCTATAACATAGGCTAAAATCATCTTGATCTTATTACAAACTAAATTAAATTATATCATGCATGGTTTGGTCCATTTTTTGGAGCTTACATGAAGCCACACTTTCATTCATAAATGATTTATCAAAAAGATTCTTCCACCCAACTTTATTAATTTGAAGGTAGTGTCTCTTCTGCCCCACTTTTCTCTAAAGGAAGGACATTGAAGTGTCAAGGGATTTTGATAGAATAGTAGTTCTTAACCAGGAATCTGGAATTGTTCTATAATTTTTTAATTGTTTAAATACAATTGATTTCCTTTGTAATGATGACATGTTTTATACTTTTAAAAACTTTCTGAAGATGCTTCTATAGGCCTCACATGTTTCCAAAGGGATCCATGATGCAAAAATTTGAAAAGGTTAAAAACCTTTGTGCAAGCAAGAGGTATTTGATGACTAGGTTTTTTGGCTTTTGAAAAGAGCATTCACTGAATATTTACTGATGCCTACTCTGTTCAAGACAGCGCTCTTATCTACTGAAGAGGATACAAAGAAGAAGATACTTGAATAACCAATTTTACTACAATAAATTTGAAAATATCCTTTTTTCCTATGGCTCTTAAAGTCTAGCTGCATGATTATGGGATCCTTGAATCTGATAGATCGAAGGGACCTCAGCACCCATCTAGTCCAGCCCATACAAGAAGGATATCCCACTGTCATCTCCAGGCTCTGCTTAAAATACCTCCAAGGAGGAAGCAAGCCATTCCACTTTGTGGCAATGTTAATTGTTAGAAAGTTTTGGGGGTTTTTTGTTTTTTCCCTTACATTAAGCCTGACTTGATCTGGAGTCAGTAAGACCTGAGTTCAAAACTGGCCTCAGATACTTATCTGCGTGAACTTGGGCAAGTCATTTACCTCTGCATCAGTTTGCTCATCTGTAAAATTGAGATAATGGCACCTACCTCCCAGGGTTTTTGGGAGGAAAAAGTTAAATAATATTTATAAGGCACTGTACAAACTTTAAATTATTATTTTTCCAGTGGTAAAATAGTGATAGTATGTTGAAAATAGACAATAAAAATAAGAAGCTTTTCTCTTGTGTCTAAAAGATATAGTGGAATTTGATCATGGGATCACTTATTGGTGAGGGCATTTTCTTGGATTAATATGATTACTTATCAGAGAGATCATGATGTTTCTGTTTGACTTAACCTCTAGGGCAGAACTCTAACAACAGTAGGTAGAAGTAGCAAGGAAGACAGATTTTGGCAAAACAAGAGTTCATATCATTAGAGCTTCCTTAAACTGGAATGGCTACTTTGTGAAGTAGTGAGTTCACTTTCACAGACGTCTTAAGGCATAGCCTGGATAATTACTAGCTGTGCATGTTCTAAAAAACATGTTTCAGAATGGAGAGTAACTTTGAAAGTTTTTTAGTCTGTCTTTCTGTGATTTGAATATGCCACAAACTGTACCCTCTTAGCTACGGTAATATTGCTGTATTACTCATATAATATCCTTGCAATTCCTTTTTTCTGTAACATAGAAAGCCAGACTTCATATAGATATGTTCTTACTCAGGCATTACTGGGTTTTAAGGGAAAAAGTTATCATATATTGTCACTCTTATTCTAAACCTATTGAGTTTCTAAGCTACATTAAGATCATTGAAGTATTTTAAGAAGTCACTTCATTAATTTAATAGCCTGTTTTCAATATTATATTCACTTTTTAAGTCCTCCCATTGAGCATACCAGTGAAGATTCGTCAAGTTTAGTTGCTGAACTTCAAGAAAAACTTCAGGAAGAAAAGGCCAAGTTTTTAGAGCAACTTGAAGAACAAGAAAAAAGAAAGAATGAAGAAGTGCAAAATGTTCGAACATCTTTGATTGCAGAACAACAGGTAAATTTGTCTTTCTTTTTTTGAGGATTTGCAGGGGGTAAACAGCAACAGGATTTGCTGTGTTTGTGTTGTGTGTAATGTGTAGTATTTGCCTGTGTAGCCTACATTATTAGCCTTGTCCTCTTAAGACTTGGAAATAATACATGGTAATATTCAAGAGGTCAAACTGAGGAAATCTTTACACTGTGTTAGGACAGTGATGCAAGAAGTTCCTGAAAGATCTGCTAGAATAACTGATTTCAATTTAGGAAATGATAGGACAATATCAGAAATCATGAACATGCCAAAAAGCATACTAATAATACTTAATTTGCTGGTGAGTAATTTTGTAGCTATAGTTTTCATTTAAATTGAACCTATTAGAATGTAATTGATCAGGATTAACTATTTATTGAGTACCCTCATGAGTATACCTGCATACTGAACACTGTCCTGGGCACGATGAAATTCTTTATGATCTTCCTGGAAATATGTCATATTTTGAGTATGGATTATTTCATTCTTTGTACGTGTATCCCCAGTGTCTAACAAAGTACCTAGCACATAGTAGTTCTTAATAGATAGTTGCTGACTCTTTGAGCCCTAATTAAAACATTAGCCTGGAGTTTCGCAATTCAGTAACTTACTTAAACTCTCTGGGTTTGGAAAAGATGGGTTTTGACTAAGTGATTTCTTAAGGTCCCAGCCAGTTCTAAAAATCTAAATTAGTGGGCAACTTTTCTTTTAAATTTCCACTACTTTTTATAAGTATTTTGGGGAGAGATTGAGGTGGGAGATGAAGTAAAGGTAAAGTGATATTTAACTTCACTCATAACTACAGTTATCCCTTCCACATTGTGGGGTTAGATGAGTGGTGCCCCCCACAATCTGGAAAATCCTCAGAAAATTTTTTGGCCCTCCCTTCATACCAGAGAAGAAATCTGACTTTTTTTTCTTTTTCTTTTATGGGGTGTTTACAGTGAGTACCACATTGTAAAGTTTGGGTGGGTTGACACAATACTATACATATATTTTATGCATTTTTGAATTTCTAAAATTTTTCTGTCTTCTGTTGGCCTTCACGTGTTGTCTGTGGCTTCTGCAAAACTTCCCCCCAAATTCCCATTTAATTTTTTATGCTGACCCGCAATATATTGAAACTACGACAGGGAAGGGGTGACTGTTCTTTACTTTGATAGAAAGTGCGCTGGATTTGCACCTTGCAGATCTAATTTTATGTCCTACAAATATGACTTACTGTGTAACAGTGACATGTACCAAAAGTTCCCAGGATTTTCTAAGCAAAGTGCTTAGTAAACTTTAAAGCACTATGTACATTTAAGCTATTGACTGTCTGAATTTGCATAAATGCAGTAGTCTTTATTATAACAATAATAACTAACATTTATATAGCACTTACTATATACCAGGCTCTATGCTAAGCACTTTAGTCATTCACCATTTTCATTCCCATATCAGATGTTTTAAACTTTCTTAAGGACAGACCTTTCCTGTTGGAAAAAAAAGTCTGATTTTTATAATTGGAATAGGACACTCACATTTGTATCATAATTTCCACAACTTTAGTAAGTTTCAGAAGGAAATTGGCATTTTTATTTGATGTTGATTTCCAAATAAGAAAACTCTCATGGATCTGGGATCTCATTGCTTTGGTTAATTCCTCCAGGAGTGCACATCATAGCCCATTCCATATTCTCCCATATCCCCCACAGGGGTTGGAGTCCATCCTTGTTGGAGGCCTTCCCTGCTTTCTTGTGCAGTGCTTGAACTATATATTTGTCATTCCTTTTCCTTACTATGTAATTAGCCCATCATCTGTTGCATTCATTTCCCTGATAATATCTTTATTTCTGTTCTTTGCAGTTTTTCAGTGGTTATAATTTGCAACCTGATTATACCCACAATGTGCATTTCCATTGCCCTCTGTAGTACTCATTTCCTGTCCTTCGAAGAATGGTGTTCCATAGCTTTCAGTCATGCATCAGTAAAATATTACTATTATTAAAGTGTACCTTTCTTTCTAAGAGAAGCTTGCAGCTTTCTGAAGACAATCCAGCTCACTCTCATTCTGAAACTCTAGGCGCAACTTGTCCATCTGTAAAATCTATCCCAGATGTATATATTATTTGACGATAAACATTCTTTGTCCAAATTTGATTTTTCCCGTGTTGATCATCAGGCCAAACTCTTTTGAGTAGTTATGAATCTTTTCGAGGACATTCTGCAATATCCCAAGGCATTATGGAACCAGTACACTGTTAGCTACGAACAAGAGTATCTGGAGTACCTTATTCTCCATAGGGAACCCCTTTACCGTTTGGACTCTGCATTGTATAACCTTCATCACAGTGGTGAAAATCTTGGGGAAGCATATATCTCCTTTTTTCATGCCTTGCTTTATATGAACAGAGGGCTATTAAATAGTGTCATTTCTATTGTTTTATCTTAGGAATCTTAAATGATTTTGATGTATGAGTGAGATATACTTTATTGGAAGAGAGCCTTTTGTTCTCAGATTTTTCATTTTTATTTTAATTTTTCATAATTATAAACAAGCATCTTGGAGCCTATACATCTTTCAGCTGCGAAATGGCAAAGATATGTTCTATTGTAGATTATTACTTATAAAAACCAGTTTGTTTTCTATTAATACCATCATTGAAGATGCCCTCAATTCATGTGTAGATGAGTCTTATAAGGATTTTATAGATATGTCAAAGTGAGGCGTATAGCTTGGTAGTTATTGATAGCTTAGTCACCTTTTCTTAGTATTAATGAAGTGTGATTTTTTTTTTTTTACAATGCTGTGAATTGACTCCTTAACGTCCTCACGGTTTGGTCATTTCCAGTATGGATTTTATCTATATGAATATGGTCCAATCCAACTGCTTTTCTCATCTATTTTTTTCTCTTTTTGCATTTTTTACATCCTGTGATAATTATTCTTGATGGTAGAAACAATTTTTAAAAATCTTTGTAGATCTTTCCCTTTTTCTTTCTGTTTGTTGTCTTTCCATTGTCATTCTTAAACACCCAGCAGATAACTTTGCTTACTATTTCAAGCTGTCTTTAAACTGCTTTTATGCTCCACTATTTTAGTATGAATGAATACAGATGCATGAAAAACATTTATCTAGCACTCTGTACTAATTGCTATACTAAGCACGAGGGACACAGTACCTGTCTTCCAGGAGCTTATATTCTAATAAGAGAGACAACATAGTGGTGGGCAGGGAAGGGAATTATTGTCTGGGAAGTTGCAGAGATAGTGAGTGGAACAACAGGGCGTTCCATTGACAGGCCTTTTCCTAAGGCAATGGTTCTGTGGATCTGATGATAGGAGTAAGAAATGAAAGGGTAGCAGGCATGTGGTTATTGTGACAGGGCAGAATATGGCCACATGAAGAGGAGGAAGCTTGGTTCCCAGGAGTGCCAAGGAGAGTAAACTGTTAACGCAGATGATCATTCATTATCCTATTTTGCAACATTTTATAAGTGAGTTTATAATCTAAATTAGTATTTCTTTGGCCACCATTTCTCTGTTTTTAGCAAGTTAAGTCAAATATTTACCAAGTAAGGTGCTTTTTAGGTTCTTTTTGTTTCCTTGTTATTTCAGTTGATTTAAAGATTGAACTTAGGTAAACAATTATTATGGTTAATGTCAGTGTAGTAAGTCTTCTACTTGTTATTAAATATTATTATATTATTAATTATGATATTATTGTATAATTTAATTATAATTACTTGTTCAAATATTTCAATATTGTATTGTTTCAATTATATGACCTTTTTTTTTCTTATTCTTCCAGCATTTTGTTAATTGTGATCTTGGTTCTGACAAGTCAGTGACCTAACTGTATACAAACGGGCTGATTCAGAGATGTCTCCCACATCAGTTAAATTTTTCTTGTGTGCTAAAATATAATCAGTTTCATTTTTGAGATGTTATATGGTGCTCACCATGTCCAGTGCCTACTAATTATTTTCTTGAAGTAATATTCATGATCTTGAAGCTTCTCTTTACTTTTAGATCTTCTTCCTCACCTATGTTCTTTTACCATCTTGACCTGTTGCCACATTTGTATTGAAATCACTGTCAATATATGTTGATTTAATTTGGAGCTTCTTATTGAGTTGTTGATAGTATTTTTCTTTACATCCTCTATAACTAATCGTGGTGCTTAAGCTGCATTTATTTTCATTGTATTTTTTTTTTTTTGCAAATATTCATAAACACTATAATGTGAGATGACCAAATTCCATATAAAGTGAGATGGTTTTTATTGCCTTTGGTTAAATGGCAAATCTAAATCTTCTAACTCTTCTCTGCTTCTTCAAAGAATTCCCTGTTAGCAATCTTTCTATTTTTCTTATTTTGTTTTATGTCCCGTCACAAGATTGATATGGTTCAATTCCTCTATATTTCTGTGCATTTGCATGTCATAGAACATAGATCTCACATTTAAAATACCAACAACGGATCTAAAAACCATAAACCATCTTAAAAACTTTATGATTCTAAGCATCCTTTTCTCCTCCACAAAGTCCTATTTTTATGCCTCAACTTGACACGTAGATGATGCTTGATTCTTGAAGACTATGTCAGTGGACCATAAACTCTGACATTCAGCAAGCTCTGATTTGCTGAAAAAGTTTTCAGCGTGGCCACAGCAGCAAACTTGAGTCTGCTTTCTGAGAACCAAAATAGGTCAGTATGTAGAGGCTTATCACTGATAGGTAGGCTAGCCAATGCCCACTTCTGCTTCTTCAGTGATGGTAGCACAATTGTGGAAAAGAGGACAGAGGATGCCAGGAATTATCAAATATTTTGAAGTATAATTAACAACAAATTTAAGACACCATTGGATTAAGTTTCTCTCATTTATTTTTCTGGGCACTTTTTTGTAAAGATAATTTGCAACTTTTAAAAAAATTTATGTTGTTTTCTGTCTTTGTGTCTAGACTTAATTTCAAGTCATCATTTTTTTCTAATCCTAGACTAATTTTAACACTGTTCTAACAAGAGAAAAAATGAAGAAAGAAAATATAATAAATGATCTTAGTGACAAATTGAAAAATACAATGCAACAACAAGAACGAGATAAAGGTTAGTTACAGTTATTCTAATAGAATATTTCAGATCACTTCTATAGTGATCTTTTGGTTAAATTTTTTTAAATTTTTTTGAAATGCAGTAAGTGTTAGTTTATTGATTGATTGTTTTTATTCTTTATATTCAGATTTAATTGAATCCCTTTCTGAAGATCGGGCTCGTTTACTTGAGGAGAAGAAAAAACTTGAAGAAGAAGTAAATAAATTGCGTAGTAGCAGTTTTGTTCCTCCACCATATTTAGCTACAGCCCCTGAACTTTGTGGTGCATGTGCACCTGAACTCCCTGGTGAAACAGACAGATTAGCCTCAGAAATAACTGATGAAGGAAGAACAGATTCAGCAATGGAAACAAGCATGATGTCTGTACAGTGAGTATTCGTGTGTGTGTGTGTGTGTGTGTGTGTGTGTGTGTGTGTGTCCTCCAACACAGCTAAACTCTTTCTTGTCTACCAACCAAGTCTTTGCAGACAGTTATCTTAGGGCACAGAGCATAACAAGGAGAGAACTTTGGAAGTTATAAAGAAAAGAAGGCCATATTTTAGCTAATGATACTGGCAGGATACAATGAAGCTTTCAAAAATAATTACAAGCCCAGTGTAGTTGAATGTTTTGGTGGCTTGTTTCAGTCCAGGAGACACAAAGCAGTTAATGTTAACACAATAAGACACACTTTATAGAGTTAACTAGGACTGGAGATATTACTTAATATTAAGTTATTCTCTCTTGGCTTTCATTTATTCATCATTATACTGTACACAAAGCATGTTTAAGCTGTAAAAGCTTGTGGTTTTTTTTTTTTTTAATAGTTGAAGGTTATGGTAATTTATTTATTTATTTATTTATTTTTGTTTTCAACATTTATTTCCACAAGATTTTGAGTTCCAAATTTTCACCCCATCTCGCCCCTCCCCCACCCCAAGATGGCATGCATTCTAAATACCCCTTCCCCTAGTCTGCCTTCCCTTCTATCTCTTCCCCCCTTCTCTTATCCCCTTCCCCTTCAGTTTTCCTGTAGAGCAGGATGGATTTCTGTACCCCATTTCCTGTATTTCTTATTTCCCAGTTGCATGTGAAGACATTTTTTTTAAACATGTTTTTAAAACTTTGGGTTCCAAATTTTCTCCCTTCCTCCCTCCCCACCTACCCTCATTGATAAGGCAAGCAACTCAGTATAGGTTATATATGTGCAGTTATGCAGAACACTTCCATAGTGGACATGCTGTGAACAACTAACTCTATTTCCCTTAATCCTATCCCACCCCCCATTTATTCTATTCTTTCTTTTGACCCTGTCCCTCCTCAGAAGTATTAGCTTCTGATTACTCCCTTTCCCAGTCTGCCCTCCTCTGTATCATTCCTCTACTCTCTTGTCCCCTTCCCCCCCATTTTCCTGTAGGGTAAGACAGATTTCCACACCCAATTGAGTGTGTATGTTATTCCCTCCTTAAGTCAAATCCTATGAGAATAAGATTCACTCATTCCCTCTTACCTTCCCCTGTTTCCCCTCTGCTGTAAGAGCCTTTTCTTTTCTGGTTTTTTTTTTGTGTGTGGGATAATTTACCCCATTCTACCTCTCCCTTTCTCCTTCTCCTAGTACATTCCTCTCTCACCCCTTAATTTTATTCTCCAGATATGACCCCTTCATTTTCAACTCACACTGTGCCCTCTATCTATCTATACCTCTATATACATACATATAATTTTTTCGCCTCCAACTACCCTAATACTGACAAAGGTCTCATGAGTTACAAATATCATCTTTCCACGCAGGAACATAAACAGTTCAATGTTAATAAGTCTCTTACGATTTTCTCTTTCCTGTTCACCTCTTCATGTTCCACTCGAGTCTTGTATTTGAAAATCAGATTTTCTATTCAACTCTGGTCTTTTCATCAAGAATGCTTGAAAGTCCTCTATTTCACTGAATGACCATTTTTTCCCCTGCGTACTCAGTTTTGCTGGGTAGGTGATTGTTGGTTGTAATCCTGTCTGCTTTGCTCTCCGGAATATTATATTCCATGCCCTGAGGTCCCTTAATGTAGAAGCAGCTAAATCATGTGTTATTCTGATTGTGTTTCCACAGTACTTGAATTGTTTCTTTCTGGCTGCTTGTAATATTTTCTCCTTACGCTGGGAACTCTGGAATTTGGCTACAATATTCCTAGGAGTTTTCCTTTGGGGATCTCTTTCAGGAGGAGATCTGTGGATTCTTTCAATTTCTATTTTGCCCTCTGGTTCTAAATATCAGGATAGTTTTCCTTGATAATTTCTTGAAAGATGATGTCTAGGCTCTTTTTTTGATCGTGGCTTTCAGATAGTCCAGTAATTTTTAAATTCTCTCTCCTGGATCTATTTTCCGATAAGTTGTTTTTCCAGTGAGATATTTCCCATTGTTTTCTAATTTTTCATTCTTTTGGATTTGTTTTACAGTGTCTGGATTTCTCATAAAGTCACTAGCTTTCAGTTGCTCTATTCTAATTTTTAAGGAAGTATTTTCTTCAGTAATCTTTTGGACTTCCTTTTCCATTTGGCCAATTTTGCTTTTTAGGGCATTCTTCTCCTCATTGGCTTTTTGGACCTCTTTTGCCATTTTAGGCTATTTTTTAAGGTGTTATTCTCTTCAGTATTTTTTTGGGTCTCCTTAGCAAGCTGTTGACTTGTTTTTCATGATTTTCTTGCATCACTCTCAGTTTTTCTTCTACTTCTCTTACTTGCTTCTCAAAATCCCTTTTGAGTTCTTCCAAGGCCTGGGACTGATTCATATTTTTCTTGGAGGCTTTGAATGTAGGAGCTTTGGCTTTGTTGTCTTCTTCTGGTTGTATGTTTTGACCTTCTTTGTCACCAGAGTAAGATAATATAGTCTGACTCTTTTTGCACTGCTTACTCACAATCCCGGCCAATTACTTGAGGTTTAAACTCTTCGTTAAGGTAAAAGTCTGCTTCCAATGTGAAGAGTGTACTGTCCCAAGCTTTGGGGGTTTGTACAGCTATTTTCAGAGGTACTTCTAGGGACCTGTAAATTTTCATTTCTTCCAAGGTGGTATGATAAGGGGCGAGGTGTTTTCTTTCCACCACCACAAGCTCCACCGCACCAGCGTTCCTCCTCACCCCAGGACTGCCCCTCAGAATTGTGACCCAGATCGAAGCACTGGTAAAGCAAGAGATTCCTGCCTCAACACTGGCAAAGAGATCCCTGCAATCCCTCTCTGATCAGCCACTCAATTTCCCCTTAGTCTGTGGGCCAAAAGCTCAGGAAAAAGCTGTGGCCCCAGGCTGCTCTTGAGACTTGCAGCTGAGACCTAGCTCCTCTCTCACCACAGTCATAGACTTTTCCCACTGACTTTCTAAATTGTCTTTGGGGTTCGTGGGTTGAGAGGTCTGGAAACCACCACAGCTGCCCGCGATTCAGTACTCTGAGGCCTGCTCCAGGGTCACTGCGGCCTGCGCGTCCACACCACAGTGCGCTCCTCTCCCTGCCTGGCGCGATATATCTTTCCAGGCTGTCTTTGGCTGGAAATTTGTTTCACTCTCTCTTTTTGCAGGTTCTGCTGCTTTAGAATTTGTTTAGAGCCTTTTTTTTAGGAATTTGGAGGGCTTTGGGAGAGAGCTCAAGACAGTCAGTGCTTTCCCTCCACCATCTTGGCTCCGCCCCTAATTCTTCCTAAAAGCTTGTTCTTAAAGGAAATTTTTAAAAGGACATAGTTGTGTAAAGCAAAGAGCCCTTCTGTTATGTGAAAATAGTAACACATTATTTATATGGTTCTCAAAAGATTACAAAGCCCTTTACTCATAACAGCTTTGTTAGGTAATAATCCAGCTATTATTATCCCTATTTTAAAGATGAAAAATCCAAAGCTCAAAGAAGTTGAGTGACTAGATTTTCTTTAGACAACTGAAGGCTGTGTTCTCAGCATCTCTATTGATATTAATCCTATGTTACAGCTATTTTCTGTTCTGTCAGGTTTGGTACACAATTTTTGTCTCTCTCACTTTTCAGTTTAAATCACATTTGTTTAAATTTGCAAGAATTCAGACAAAACTCTTTTTGCCACCTCTGATATAGTGTGTTCCAGCCCTGGCAAAAAGCCTGTTTTACCTACTATTCAATTGACAGTCCAGAAATACAAATCCTGTTCTCAGATATCATTCTCTTAATCAGTTGTTCACTTCTGAAATTTTCCTCTCTCAAAGCATCCATACCTGTCTTCATAAACAGAGGTGATGAAAATTTCCCCTTCATCTCTAAGGTCTTCATTTTCTTGATTAGATCTTTTATTTATAAGTGGTGCTTTCTGGGTTTCTGATAGCAGTATATAAAGTTTTTCCCAATTAATTACCTAAAAAGCCTAGTAGACATATGTTGGGAGATTTCTCACTTTGTCTGGGATCTTTAGCCCAAGAAGACAGCAGATGTCATTATTAATGGTAGCTAAATAAATTGACATCTCCTTATCCTTTGGTAGGAAGTTTGTCTGGGTTATGGTTCTGCATCTGTTGTTAAGGATTATTCAGAGATCAGACAAGGGCTCAAAGAAACAGTCCTTTTACTAAAAAGCATGTTCCAGTACCCTCAGGAAAAATAGTTCTCAAGGAAGTTAAAAACAGTTCAGAAAGATAAAAACAGATAAAAGATATCTTTCAAGTAGGTTAAAAGCATTGGCAAGATTCCCTGGGTTTCAGGAGCTCTGCCAAAGTCTTAAAAACTGCCTTTATATACTTGTCCAAAACACTGAGGTCAGTCTGCCTAGGTTCATGGTTAACCAAGAGTGTCCAAGGTCTGCAATACAACTTCCTTTCTTGAAATTATGTTCCCTGGTGGTGTGGGAACTTGAGCTTGCCTCATACCTCTCCAGTTGTACCAGTATCCTGGTCCACAATGGAGTCTATATTCACGACATCACTTCCCTTCTTTTTTAGACTCTTACTGCATGGAAAATGTCTTTTCTGACAGCATCTGTGGATACACATTATAAATGTTTGGAAGATAACACAGCTGCTTACTCTTAAAAAGATCAAGGTCTCCCTTCACAGGTCTATTCTTGAGCTTCAAGAATTCAGTGATCTTCTTTCTTCCTTTACCACTTGCATTACATTGTTGTATCTTCCATCCTCACACAAGTTGAACTTTCTGTCTTATCTTCAGATCCTTTTGTTGTTGTTGCTTTTACCCTTCCACAAGAAAGATTCATTCTGCATGATGACTTGGAGAGTAAAAAGGTATTCCTTAGAGCTGTTACCTTCTCTTCTTGAATGGGGGCTAACCTATACTTAGAGCAGGGTTTCTTAGCCTTGGGTCTGTGAACTTTTTTCTTTCTTTTTTTTAAAAAATATTATGATAATTGTACAATGTAATTAGTTTCCTTTTATTTTTTAACTTTATGCTTATGTATTTTACAATATTATGAGAAGGGATTCATAGGCTTTACCAGAATACCTAGGGAGTCTGTGACACACAAAAAAGGTTAAGAATCCTCTAACCAGAGCCTAGATACTAGCAGGTATTTGGCGGTAGCAAAAAAATAAATATAACAATATACAAAACACTGCAAAACTTTCTCGGCCGTCCGTGCTTGTTTGATTTAGAATCAGAAGAAATCTTGGTTGGCAAACGACAATATTCATTAGTTGTAGGACTTTGGGCATGTTATTCTTAATGTTTCTTCATCTATAAAATAGAATAATAATATCTATTATCTCACAGATTTGTTGTAAATGCCAAATGAGGTAATGTATGAAAATGTTTAAAAATTCTTCAAGTGCTAGATAAATGTTGTCATGATTATTATCTCAGTTCTCTGTCATTCTTTTTGGTGACTCTTGTTGCCAGCATCATTTCCAAACAGCTTTGGTAAGCTGCCTTTCAGTATACTTTCAGGACCCTAAATAAAGCCTTTTTTTGTTCATAGTGCCTTTCTGCCATTTTTCCTTTGATGACGCTAGCTTGCTCAGTGCCTTTCATGTGCAATTAATAGCTTCCTGCCAAAGGCTCAAAATATGCAACATAATGAGAGCACAGACAGATGTGCCAAAATTGGTTTTCTTGTGCTTGTTAATCATTATTTCGTGTATTTGGTTCTTTTATCTTTTAATAATTTTTGGCAAATCTTTTGGGTTACTGGTTTTCAAGTTATTCTTTATAGCACTCTGTGTTTCTTATGCCATGGGTACAGGACTTTCACTATTCTAGTTGTTCTCCTTTGGATACTCCGCAGATTATTCATGTCTTTCTCCAGCCATGGTGTCAAGCCCAGTACTCCATGCTCCAATTGAGGTCTAACAAAATACAGAAGGACAGTCATTCCCTTATTGCTTCTCAATCCAGATCAGGATCACATTCACTATTTTGGCTGTACTGAAAACTGCTGACCCACTGAGCTTGCCACACTTGAATACTTTCAGTTCTTTTTCAGACAATACTGATGACTCCTAATCCTCTTTTTTGTACCTGTGAAGTTGATTTTTTTTTTAACAAATAAAAGACTTTATTGAATTTTCATCTTATTAGATTCAGTGCAAAACCCTAGCCTGTCAGAATCATTTTGGATCCTAAACTGTATATCTCAGTATGTTAGCTTTCCCTCCTAACTTAATGTTCAGTCTGTAAATTTGATGAGCATGCCTTCTCTGCCTTTATCCAAGTTGTTAATAAAAACAGTAAAGATGGTCAGTCAGCTAGCATTTATTAAGTACCTCCTATGTGCCAAGTACTGTGCCAAGCGCCTAGGATACAAATAAAGGCAAAAGACAGTCCATGCTCAAGGAGCTCACAGTATAATGGGGGAGACAAATGTTAACAGCTATAGATAAACACGATATAGATAGAGTAAATTGATTTAGTCTCAGAGGGAAGGCACCAAGGTTAAGGAGGACTAGGAAAGGCTCCTTGCAGTAGGTATGACTTTAGTTGAGACTTGAAGGAAGCAAAGGAAGCCAAGAAGTAATGACAAGAAGGGAGAGAATTTTAGGCATAAACCCTCTTTGGTATTCAAAGCACTTCATTATCTAGCGTCCCCCGAATGCCACCTTTACACTCTGATCAGAAGACACTGGCCTTCTTGCTTCATCTCCTTAATCTGTAGGTTTTTACAGGTTGTCTCTGAGGCCTGGAATGCTCTCCTTCCTCATGTCTTCCCCTCTGACTTCTTTCAAATCCCCGCTGAAATCCTATCTTTTACTGGAAGTCTTTCTTAATCCCCCTTAATTCTACTGCCTGCCCTTTGTTGATTATTTCTAATTTAAAAGGAGTTTCTTTAAAAAACAGGGACTGTCTTTTTTTTTTCCCTTCTTTGTATCCTCAGTATTAACATTTTAACTGCTTAAAAAATGTTTATTGACTAACTGATTTGTATCCCTAGTGCCTAGCACATAGTAGGAGCTTAATATTTGTTGATTAATTGATTTACTTTATCACATTCTTCATTAACATCTTGTTAAATTAGATTTTAAACAAGAAGGGATTCTAGAAGCCACCTATTCCATTTCAGAAGAATTGAAACCTCAAAGGATTAAATGACATGCCAATAGGCAGATTTGAGTGCAAGAAATATATTTAGTCGTTCATGAATTGATAAAGCCATGCGAACTCTTTGTGATAACCAGTCATCTTTCTAGATAGTCATCAGCCATCTCTTTATTGCTCTGTTCATTTGTTTCTTCTTCTTTTTTTTAATGAATGTTTAATTAAATAATTTATTTATTTATTTGGCTAGGCAGTTAAGTGACTTGCCTTGGGTCACACAGCTAGTGAGTGTTTTGTGTCTGAGGCCAGATTTGAACTCAGGTCCTCCTGAGTCCAGGTCCAGTGCTTTATCCACTGTGCCACCTAGCTGCCCCTCATTTGTTTCTTCTCATGAAAGCTTCGATGGGTATTCTTGCTTAGCTCACCTGCTAACCATCATCCAGCTAGCACTGTCACTGACCCAGTCACACTAGGGAAATATACATGTATTCATACATACACATACACATGCACATACACATCTTTCTATGTATATACATAGAGATCACTAGAATGCTACAATTGTTAAAACTTACTTGAATTCATACTAGTGCTTTATACACCAGACATGTTCATTCAAAAGGAACAAAAAGAAAATTAAGGTGAGATAAATGCTATCAAGGTATTTAACTAATATTAAGATCTAGCCCCTTAAATTTCTGGAGGAAATAGTCTTCATTTTGTCATTAAATTTTAAGCTGTAAATATAGGTAGCATATTCCCATAACAGGATATATGATAGTGAAAGTAAACATTCCAAATGTAATAACAAATTCATGATTAGTTGATCACTGCATAAGTTTATCATGAGCACCAAAACACTCTTCAGGATATGGGAAAGTATTTAATATCCTTGTTCTTCTCCACTTGCATCTTGAGTTTAAGTGGCAAATCTTAAGATCTTCTGAGTTTTTAATTTAAAAATCTTCTTTTGAAAGTTGATATATTAAGAAAATAAAAGAATTTTAGAGATGGCAGTTGAAGATAGCACTTAACTCTAAAACAGTAGTTATTTCTTCATAAATTCTCTTTTTTTCCCTTAGTGAAAACATTCACATGTTGTCTGAAGAAAAACAAAGGATAATGTTGTTAGAAAGAGTAAGTAACTTTTTTTTTAATTCTTAAACTCATTATGTTCACTTTGAGATGTACTTGGGTATTCCTTAACAGGTTTTATTCCATGAATACATTTTCATTTTAAAGAATCTATCCATATTATTTGCATTTATAACAGTTTGAGGAATCCAGTCTTTTTATTAAAAAGAATAAAGGACTTAGTGACTCAGATAATCTTTATGATTTTGAATACCAGTTAATGAAGGTGCATATCAGAGAACAAGATCTGAAATCTTTACACATTTCTTACTTAGTGGCAGTCCTCTTAACAGTTTTAGGAAATAGAACAAACACTACATATTTTTTTAAATGTTAAATTATATTTATCTTAGTTGGACTAAAAATATAAAAAGAGAAGAGCAGTAACATTTCTGATAACACAATTATACAATTAATGCTTCTCAAATGGGAATAAATTTGAATGTCTGAATAGGATCTTGAAATTTGGCAACTCTTTTCCACTTTCAGTGATGATCAAGGCATTAGGTATATTTGTTTCTCATATTGTATAGTTTTATAATCAGACAAGCACATGTCTAACTTTTGTAACATAGGTAGGGAAATTCTTTGTCCATAGACCATCATTCCTTAATTCTGTAAATATCTTTTTCTATCTTTTGAGTTGACCATCTAATGAAATTCTAGAAATAAAACTGGTAAATATTTTCAAATAGAGCTTAAACAGGTATGTGTATAACTGTTTTGTTTCAAGCCAAGTTCAGAGCATTTTGAATTGATTTCTTTTGGAAAATATCAGAAGATACATAGAGCTATTCTAAAGAAAAATTTTGGGGCTTTACCTTTCTTGAAGATATATTATTTGGCTTCCAAGTATTTTATCATTTGGATTGATTTTAAGTACAGAAAATAAATTGTTGTTTGTTCTACAGACTTTGCAGTTAAAAGAAGAAGAAAACAAGCGGTTAAATCAGAGACTAGTAAGTATTTATTACCTGGCATGTTGATAGCTCTAAAAGTGTCATTATTTTTGTGCTCTTCTTACTACACAATGGCAGCAATCAGTAGTGCATCTACTTTTGAGTGCCTTGTTTCCAGTAGTTATAATGGTTTTTATTTTATTTTATTTTATTTATTTTTTTTTTTTTAATTTTATTCTTTGGCGAGGCAATTGGGCTTAAGCGACTTGTCCAGGGTCACACAGCTAGTAAGTGTCAAGTGTCTAGTCTGCAGATTTGAACTCAGGTCCTCCTGACTCCAGGACCAGTGCTCTATTCAGTGTGCCACCTAGCTGCCCCTAGTTTTTATATTTCTTTGCAATAAATATCTCTCAGTTCAGTAGTACCTACTACATTCAAGTATTCTACTAGTCAGTTGTGATTAGAGATACTATGTTTTTTTTTGTTTGTTTTTTTGTTTCTGTTTTTGTTTTTTAGTGAGGCATTTGGGGTTAAGTGACTTGCCCAAGGTCACACAGCTAGTATGTGTCAAGTGTTTGGTCTGAGGCCGAATTTGAACTCGGGTCCTCCTGACTTCAGGGCAGGTGCTCTATCCACTGCACCACCTAGCTGACCCTAGAGATACTATGTTATTAGGAATGGGGAAGGGTCAAATATAGGCACAACTAAGTATAATCAATGAATTAGTGAAAAACATTAAAGATTTTATGCTAAGCAATATTTTCAGTGCTGGGAATACAAGTACAAAAGCAAAAACAATCTCTTGATTATATTATAGCTTAAATTCTTTTTAAAAATATTTTTATTTTGTTAAATATTTCCCAATTACACAAAAACATTCTTTTTTAAAAATTTTAATTTTCAAATTCTCTCCAGTATGATATTGATTATACATATGAAGTCATGCAAAATGTTTCCGTGTTAGCCATGTTGCAAAAGAAAACACACACACAGAAAAAGAAAGTAAAGTATGCTTTAGTCTGCTTTCAAAATTCATCAGTTCTCTCTCTGAAAGTAGATACCATTTTTCATCTTGGGTTCTTTGAAATTGTCTTGAATCGTTGTCTTGATCAGATTAAGTCTTTCATAGTTGATCATCCTTACAATATTGCTATTACTGTGTACAGTGTTCTTCTGGCTTCCCAGGTTTTTCTGAATTCCTGCTTGTCATTTCTTACAGCACAGTAGTTTTCCATCACAGTCTTATACTACAATTTATCCAGCCATTCCCCAATTGATGGGCATCTCCTCAATTTCTAATTCTTTACTACTGCAAAAAAAGCTGATATAAATATTTTTCTACAAATAGATGTTTTTACCCTTTTCTTTGATCTCTTTGAGAAACAGAACTAGTAGTGGTGTTTCTGTGTCAAAGGATATGTACAATTTTATAGCCCCATGGCCTTTTGTTCCTATTTCCAAATTATTTTCCAGAATGACTAGACTAGAAGAAACTTACATTCTAATGGAAACAACACATAGAAGAGTGGTGGACAGGACTAAAGATTTTGGTTGGAAAAGTTGTAGAGAGAGTGAGTCAAGCTATAGGGCAGAGTAAATTTATATACCTTTTCTAGTAGTAATGACAGTTGATTTGATTATGTTTCCAGACCTTGAAAAAAGAGAAGGTTGAGGGTTCATGTCAACCGAGAAGCAAATGGCCAGGGAATGAAGTAAAGTGTGGCTAGAGTTAGACCTAAATAGAGTGTCCTACCAAGGCAACTACTTATCAGGATAATGAGGTCCAAGAACTGAGATGGAAGGATTAAGTCCTTATGGGAAGTGTTTCTTTTTCAGAAAGTGTGGTAAGGAAATGACTGGGGAATGATTTAATGTAGTAATCAATGTCAAAAGGAATGAACTTGCATCTGGAGGAATTACTTAAGTCTTCGTGGAGGAGGAGCCATACCAGCTGGGTTTTAAAAGAAAATAGTATCAAGAGAAGGTGTTCTAAGCATTGAAAATAACATATTTGAGTGCAAGGAATTTGGAGAGCACATGATAAAATCAAGGAAAAGGCAGTAGTCCAGTTTTCTTAAAAATTTTAGAAGGACTGTTATATGCATTGGAGTTTATTTGCAAAGAATGTCAGTGAGGGCCATTAAGATATAGCCATCTCAGTTATACACACACACACACACTATGTATATAATCGATATCAATATTTTATAGAGAAATTCACGTGCCCTTCATTCCCTCATTTTAAAAATTTAATCATTTAACTATTTGTATGTGTGTATATATATACTTTCAAAGCTTTTTAAAAAATGTATATTAAGTAATTTCCAATAGAATACTGCTTCTGACTAATATTGAATAGAGAAACATTTAAGTCTTACATGATAATCACAGTGCTAAGCACTGAGTATACAAATACAAAATAATTTCAGTTATAACTGGTATAGGTCATCTACAGATGAGAAAAGTGAGGCCCAGAAAAGCTAAGTAATCACATAGGTGAGGAAATCAAATGTATACAGATAGAAGGAACTACAGAATGTGAGGTGAAAGGGATCTTACCAGCATCTAGTACAACCCAGGGAATGTGAGCTCCTTAAGAGCAGGTTCTTATCTTAGTTCTATTCATAGCTCCAGTTCTTAGCACAATGCTTGGTTCATAGTAGGTCCTTAATTTTATCCATCATGGAAGAGGTACCGTGAACAAGAAAAATGTGAATTATAGACTGTTTCCCCTGAAATAACAATTTTATTCCTTGAATGTATACTTAATATATTGTTTTCAGTTGTTCCCAAGTAGAAGTTCTTTTGTGATTGGTAAGAAGACTTTATAGGATCATAGATCTAGACCTGGAAAGTAGGCACTGTCTACTCTAATTCCATAATTTTATAGATAAGGAAACTGAGGTCCAGGGTGGTTTGCCACCCTAATTTGCTCACCATGATGCAGATAGTAAGCAAGAGAGCTGGGATTTGGACCCAGATTCTTTGATTGTAGAACCATTGTTTTTTCAGTATATTTTTACCATTCATACAGCCCATTTCTAAAATGCTTGAAATTTTTTCTTTTCTTCAACATTACAATTTCTTTAGAAAGCATTTTTATGATTTAAAGTGAAATTTAAACCCAATTTCCATTTAAGCTTTTACAAATTCCAAATTGAAAGGATCTCAAGGGTATAATTCATATATGGTATCCCAAAAGTCTAAGTGTATTTTTAATCAATTAGAGCTATGAAAACATAAAACATCACAAGACTTTCACAATGCCCTATAAGGCACACAAATTTTTCCAAGTGCTTTATGTATGTTATCTTATTTGATCCTGACAGCACAGTGTGGTGTAGGAACTATTACTGTCCTCATTTTATTTCATGAGAAAACAGAAGCCAGGGAAGGTTAAGTGACTTGCCCAGGATCACAGTTAAAAAGTGTCTGAAGCAACATTTAAACTGAGGTTTTCCTGATTCCAAATCCAGTGCTCTGCCCACTGTGCTATTCTAGGGTTTAATGTACTTATGATGACAATATCCAAATTGTTAATATTTTAAAGCCCCGGATCTTGAAGCTCAGTAAATTGGAGTTTATTTGCAAAGGATGTCAGCGAGGGCCATTAAGGATCATCTAATCCTCTTTATTTTACCGATAAGGAAGCTGATGTCCAGAGAGATAAATTGATTTCCCCATTGTCACAAAGCATTTCTTACTCTGTCAACACTGAACAAGAAAAAAACTAAAAATACCCATGTTTGATAAAGGCAGGGAGCACCATGGCATTAATTCATGACCTTTGTAAACCTACACTACAATGTCACCAGTATGTATATTCCTAACACATATATCTATTTTTCTGCATTTATATTACATGTGCACATCAGTGCATGTTTTGATTTAATGAAAATTGATCATTAGACTAGATGAAGTAGAACGTTTTCAGATTTGTAGGTTAACAACACACAACTCTTTTTTACCTAACAAACTTTGTTAGCTGAATTCCACAATTTCTACATACATTCCCTCTTCAAACCCACTTTGCAGAATTTGTAGGTCCTTTGCTTCCACCATTTGGAATTCCTTCCTTGCCAAGGCTAACCCCTCTACATGTCTGCATAAACTTAGATATATTTAACATAAATTAAAGATTAAACTAAATATAGTTTTATATTTAGTTTTCAGTCTACCATATTTAAATAAAAATAAGTTTAACACCAAGGAAAACTAAGGGAAATTGATGAAGGTAATTATGCTAACATACTCAGTGGCCAAGAAAAGTAATTTGAATGTTACACCAAGCAATAGTCATGCTTTTGAATGACTCGAGTTATCAAGAACTTTTAGATAAATGTAATTGTTTAATCAATATTAAAAATGTTTTAGGTTTTTTAATCTAAAATTTATTCTGTTTAGGTACATAATAAACTATTTGAGGGTAATCTCATTTTATGTGCTTTATTACTTGCTTAATTTTTTTCTTCCAGATGTCTCAAAGCATGTCTTCAGTTTCTTCAAGGCATTCTGAAAAAATAGCTATTAGAGAGTAAGTATTTGATTTTGGGAGATTCTTTTCTGTGTGTAACCAGTTAGCAGGTAAAAAGTCTTTTAGAAGTGCTAACTTGTTAGAGAAATCATAGAATTTCAGATTAGTAGGGACTTGAAAAGCTATTTAGTCCAACTTATACCTGAGGAATTATTGCCTCTGCTCTTCAAAAAGTGGTCATCCATCATTGCTTGAAAAATACCACCAGTGAAGAGAGACCTGCAACCTCCAAAGGCATGCCAGAGATGTTAATCCATAAGCAGATATTTATTTCATTGTCCTATGTTATATCATTACAAACCAGTGCTCCATTGAGGCTAGTTTTTAGATTCATTAGCATGTGTGTGTGTGTGTGTGTGAGTGTGTGTGTGTTTGTGTATTTCAAGCTAATACATGATATGTGATAAAACAGATTATGATAAGCAATTGCCCTTAATGATGTCAGTCTCAAAATATTAAGATTGTGTGCTGAAACATCCATAGCTTACTTCAGTAGTATTTCTTGAATATATCCAAAATCCTTCTTGAATCTTGATCTAAGTAAAGCTGCTATTATAGTTCATAACTGCCTGTTGTTTAAAGTTATTTGTTCTCAGTTTATCTTAAGAAGCTTATTCTGATCTCTACCTCTAGCTTCACCAGAGTCCCAAATATTATTTTAAAGGTTTTTAGAGTTTTAAATTTGGGTGCCATTAATATGAAAGTATAATTCTTTCTAATGTCTAATCTGTATTTCTTTCTGATTTCAGTTGCAATAGGAAAATAAAAGAGCTCAGAATGGTTCTTTAGTTTGAGATGGTTACTATCATCTCTGTCCCTTTCAAACCCAAGATTCTATGTTGTGGTTTTGAGGTGTTGTTTGTTTTTTTTTTTTTTTGGTTGGTTTTTTGTTTTGTTTTGTTTTGTTTTGTTTTAGAGGGAAAGGAGAAGTGTTCCTGAAACAGTGATTCTCTACTTTTACTCTGAAATGTCCTAATTATTCCCAGTGATCTAAGAAACTTAATAATTCCTTTAATCAGCTTAATTTTATTTAAAAATAAAAACAAAGAAACAACAACAACAACAACAAAAAAACAGGCCACATAGCACATTTAGCACTGTGTTGGGTCACAACAAGCAGTGCTATGAACCAAAACTCAAAAAAATTGCAAATCCTTATTCTTGAAGCTCATTTGTTATTGTTGTTATTAAGTAGGGAAAAGTTAACAAAGATCCCCTTCTTTAGGCCCTTGGGGGGGAGGGGGGTGGCAAGTCATCCAACATAGGTAAGTAAGTCTTATCTTTTCCTTCTTTTCCTAAGCAACACCTTTTTTTCGGGGGGGGGTTAGGCAGTGGGGTTAAGTGACTTGCCTAGGGTCACACAGCTAGTAAGTGTTATATGTCTTGAGGTTGGATTTGAACTCAGGTCTTCCTGAATCCAGGGTGGGTGCTCTATCCACTGCGCCACCTAGCTTGCCCCTAAGCAACACTTTTTATACCTGGATTATATCACTTTGAAAAAATTGTGTCATTTATAACTTCTTTTCCTTCCCTACCATTTTCATAGACCTAGAATGAAATATTTTAAAAGGGGAGAGAGGAGTTTTACTGGCACTTTCCTTTATGTAAATGTCAAGTTATAGTAAACTGCTAATGGCACCATAATAATCATTAAAACTGCCAAACACTTTTGAAAGTTGATTTTAAAAATATCATATTTACTTATAGCTATGATAAAATATAAAAATGTTTGTAAAATCAAATTAGTTTATTTTCTCATAATCAGATATTTATTGAATTCATACTATATCTCTGGCCTAATGCTAGTTTTCTTAGATAAAAAAAGAGTTTTTGGGGCATGTGGACATGTAGATTTAAATGGGATTTTGAGGATATATTTAGTCAAATTTAATTAGATAATGTGAGATGATGGAAAGAATACTAAATTTGTAGTCAGAGGACCTGGACTCAAATCTGAGTTCCTCTCTTTACTGCCTTTAGTGACCATGTAGTATTAAACAAGTCAGTTCACCTCTGTGGATCCCTCTTTGCTCATCTCTTAAATGTGGGAGTTAAATGAGATGGTATCAGAGATCCAGTGGATAGAACTCTGGGCCTGGAGTGGAGGAAGACTTGAGTTCAAATCCAATCTCTGACACTTACTGGCTATGTGACCTCTGGAAAAGTCACTTTACGTCTGTTTGCTATAATCCACTGGAGAAGGAAATGGCAAACCAGTCCAGTATTCTTGCCAAGAAATCCCATGGACAGTAGGGTCCATGGGATCACAAAGAGTCAGGAACAGCTGAACAACAACAATTTTATCTTAAAATCCAAAGTTTAGTTAAGCTTTCAAAAATGTGATTGTAATAATACCACAAGTATAGTAAAACTCTATTACTGTTATTTAGTTTTCAGGTTGGAGACTTGGTTCTCATTATATTGGATGAACGTCATGACAATTATGTATTATTTACTGTTAGCCCAACTTTATACTTCCTGCATTCAGAGTCTCTTGCTGCATTGGACCTCAAACCAGGTGAGTGTGGTAAGTGTCTTATTTTTAACTAAAATATGATGCTCTAGGTTCAGTAATCATCAGTTTTTATTTAAATGATAGCCACTTTTTTTTTCAGACTTGTTGGAGCTCTAAAAGTTCCAGAATTTAGCATACTAATTCACTGTAGTACAGATGTTTACAAAAAAAGAATGTCTTGCATAATAATCTTTGTTCAAAATAAATGATTAATATTTCTAGAAAGTCATCTAAGAAAATTATGAAGTAGAAATTAAGAGTCAGAAGTCATGAATTCTTGTCCTAGCCTGCATTCTGTGTGATCCTGAGCATGTTACTTAACTTTTCTGGGTATCATTTTCCTCAGCTATAAAATAAGAAAGTGGTCTGGGGTTCCATCTAATTAGCAGTATATTAACAACTATTACAGCTGTTTAGGATAGTTTAGTGTATTCTGTTTGATATATTTGGTAACTGTTAACCAGAATATTTAATTAACTGAAACATCATATTCAACTCAAGTTCTATTTCAGTGCTTTATCTTAGTATAGAGGTGACTAGATTCTTAAAAAACTATGCCAGTCAGGCTTGGCTCTACCAAGTGAGAGAGGCCTCAAGTGCAGGCTTATTGAGTCTGATGTCTGATGATAAGCCTGTCTAAGTTCAAAGAGGCTCATCACCAGGAAGTTGGCCAGTAGACATGGATTGTTTTGTCCACATCAGTTCAGTGCAAATCATTTAAATTGTTGCATCTACCTTGGCTACGATAGTAACCAACTGATGAAATTATTACTCTTCTCAAGTATTAAAATGCTCTCCTCCTTGATCATGATGAAGAAATTCCTTTATTGTGTCAGATGCCATCATTTAGTCTAGGGTTGTCTGATTCACCCTGTGTACATACATATAAATTAGTATAACTTTATAAATTGCAGGTTCTCCACTCCCCCTCTGCCTTTTTTTCCTGAATTTATCAGATACTAAATAAACGAGCATTTCCATATATATAATAGAACAGAAAAAATGATTAATGAAACTGCAAATCTCTTACATATAACTTGGTTTAAAATAAATAAACATATATAAAATAATTCTAACATATAACTTGCAGAGGTATCCTGGTTGTTTTCCTCTGTCTTTCAAAGGAAAAAATGTAATGTGAAAATGTAAAGTCATGTAACTTTGTCTTTTCCTCGACGGTAAAATAGAGAAAAAGCAGTCATTGTGTTCCTCATATTCATAGTCTCCTATCTAGCTACTCAGAAATCCTCTGGTAATTTTGTAGTCCATAACTCTCTCTATTTTAAGGACTTCAAAGTTCATCCCAAAGGTAGGGAAGATTCCCAGGCCACTGGGAAAGAGGCTCTGTAGTATCATATATAGAGATCTGGACTGTACTTGTTGTGGTCTGGTAGGTAGAGGACTGGAGAGGAATACTTGAGTTCAAGTTCTACCCAGCCACTACATTGCTTTACTCAAGTTAAAATCTGATCTAAAAGCTCAGTGTGCCTAGAAGTACTGCTTATTTTCCTTCTCAGCTCTACTTTAATTGGTGGACAACTCAGTAGTATAAGGGCTCTTTGAATCTGCCTCTGTGACAATTTACCGACTTGAGTTACACTACAACTACTTGCTACCTGGGCAAGTCAAGCTGAGAAGGTGTTGACTTAGATTCTTCACTTGGTATTTATGCCAATGAAATCACAGATACAGTCTATGCTAGGCCATTACTCTCAGCTTCCCTGCAGCTTAACTCAAGTTGGTGGGTAGCCACAAAGGTCAATCTAGAGCTCCCTTTGAACAGAGTAGAACAAAGAGGATTAGAGAAACAAAGGAAACTAGGTAGTATTTCTGAGTGCACTGGGCTTTTAGCCTAGATCTTAACTTCTTCAATTTAACTTCCAGGCAGGGACTGAAGGAAAACTGGGGCATTAGCGGAGAGATCTAGCTACCAGCTATATGCAAGTAACTTTATTTCTTAGGCCTTCTGTGCCTTCATCTGTAAAATGAAAGACTTAAGACTAGATGATCTCTAAGGCCTTTCTTGCTCTAGAATTGAAGAGCAGAAATTCTGTCTAGAATTTTTTTTTAAATATACTTATAGCTAGCAAAATTGAAGCTGTTCAGATGAAACTCCCAAGGTTGTTACCTTAACCTTGTATACATTTCCCAAATAAAATAAGAAGATACAAGTTTAATTTTAAGTATCTCTTCCCTGGGTTAATGGATTAACTGATGAATTACTGTCATGGGATGTTGTCTTGAGGTCACTAGTTGTGAAAAGGAAAAAAAAAAGCTTATTTCTTAATTTGTAATGTGACAATATCTGTTCTTTTGTTTCTAGTACTTCAAAGATGGTGGGGAAGGGCATTCCACTTAGGTTCAATTGGGTGGAGTAGTGATCACCAGAACCTTGTGCACTCACAGAACCATAAAATTTCACAGGATTTGAGAGTTGAAAGGGTCCTCAGTAGTCATCTAGTCCAACTCATACAGGAAAGGAAAAATTTCCACCATAACATACCCAGCGGTGTTCAACCTCTGTATGAAGACCTCCATGGAGGGGGACCTCACCATCATTCTAGGTAGTCCATTCTACTTTGGGACAGCTTTTTAATTATCAAGAAGTTTTACCCTAAAGCTTAAACTGGCCTCTTAGCAACTTCCATCCATTGTTTCTTGTTCTGCTCTCCAAGGCCAAATGGGGGAAAAATCTGATTATTCTTTTATATGACAATCCTTCATAATAGTTAGTGCTCCCTGTTCCTAACATTATTCATCTTAAAAGTTTGAGAACAGTTTCACCTAATAAGTTAGTGTCCTGTCACTATTATCCAACACTTATTCAAAAAAGTGGCACCTTTGAGAGTTGGAAAGAGTTTGGTTTTTTTTCCATTTCCTTTCAAACACATTCTGCCCTTCTCCACTTACTTTGGGCTTTTCATTCTGAAAATCCTTTTATTTGCTGCACCTGGTAATCTGGCTCTTTTTCTTCAGATAAAATCTTCTTGGTTAGTACAGTAGGTGGCACTCTTGTGCCATTGTGAGTTATTAGGTGTAGGTATGCAGTGCCTTTTATATCGACTTTAATTTGTTCCATAATCCATTCAAGTTATGGCTTAAGTTAACTAGAGTTAAGTTAATCCATTCAAGTTAACTAAAGGGGAGAGATGGTAGTAATAAAAGCACTGTCCGCAAGTATTTAAGATTTTCCTTGTTTTGTGTTATGAATTGATATTTTATCAAAAGTATTTTATTTCTTTTTTCAAGTGTTAAAGTGCTTTATAGGAAATTTTATTTTTAAAATGAAATTAATACTATAACTTATTAGCTTCAGGTACATCTAGAAGACCTTGGGTACTTGGAAAAGTAATGGAAAAGGAATATTGTCAAGCCAAAAAGGTAAAACAAAATATAGGATGTGCTATACAAAACACAGAATTAGTAAAGAAAACTTACAGTGCTTTATGTAGAAATCAGTAATGATCACTTTCTATCCAGTTAGAACATAGGTTCCCCAAGTGGACAGTACTAACCCTTGGGAGGCATTGGAACAATGGGGTTGGGCAGTAGTAGCTTCGGGTGCAATTGAGGGACATTAAATAAAAATAAAGGAACCTCCATCCTAACCTAGGATGGAGGGGAGGGGGCGCTGAGTAATTTTTTTTTAGAAAAGGGGATAGTAGGCCAAATAAGTTTGGGAACTCTGAGGTAGAGCATGATTCCAGTGAAACCCAAGAAGGTAACCCTTTTGACTGTAATGCTAATTAATCCTAGCAAATAATCTTAATAGGTATGTGCCATTTGCCATAAGTGGGATAGACAGATAAGTGGTTCGGTTATCTACTGAAAGACTAATTCTTGCTTTACTCCTGCTGAGACAGTAGTGTCTTCTTATATGAAGGGTAGCTCCATAAATTAATGGTAATCAGAAGGGAGCTCTGTTTTGACATAGAAATATTTTCCTGTTTGTCTATCAAACCTCCTTGAGTGAAGATGCAAAAGAATTATTTCGTGGTTTAAAAATAACAGGTTTAGTGTCAATAATATTTATACAATAGTAAATATGTACATGTCTTATTTTTAATAGCGTCATTCATTCTATTGAGTCACCACTAAAGACTCATTCTAATTCTCTGTGATTATTGCAGGACTATTTTTTACATCAAGTAATATTATTATGAAGTCCTTGCAGTAATAACTCTCTTAGATAATAATGTCTTACCTTAGCTTGAATTTCACATGCAACAACTAACATGATGAAAGTACTTGTGTATTTGGTTTGGTTATTTAAAGAAATAATTTTCTCTCTCTCTCTCTCTCTCTCTCTCTCTCTCTCTCTCTCTCTCTCTCTCTCTCTCACTCTCAGGCACAGAACAGATTTAAAGTTCCTCTGGGTACCAAATTTTACCGAGTAAAAGCTGTGCCGTGGAACAAGAAAGTATAACCCTCACAGGAAATTCATTTCATTTTGTCATATTTTTTCTGCCTTGTCCTACAGTGTTCATCCACCACTCCAAAAATAGAAGGCCATCTTTTTTATACAGAAGTCATTCTGACAATATACTTCATTGATGTACAACATTTATTTTTTAACAAATTACATTTTAGAAACAAGAAATTCATCAAATCCCTTGGCTGAATTACAGTTTTTTACCCAGATGACTCTAGAAATGCGGACCAAATTAGTTCATTTTCTCAAAGGGCATACCCTATACATTGTGGCTTATAAATTAGCCATATTAATTGCCTGTTAAATATACATTAGCTTGAACTTAGATGTTAAATGTTAGTTACCATTATTACCAGCATTTGTCCTTTTGTGAAATCATTATCAGGATACTTGCTCTCTTTAACACATTCTTTATAATATGTATAAATTCTTCAAAACTATTTAAAGAGGAGTGTCATTGCATGCAGATAATCATATAATTTTCTTAAACATGAGTTTGCCTCTGTAGATAACTACCACAACTTGTTTCATTTTTTTTAAATGCCCTTTGATGTTTCAAGGAAAAAAAAAAGGAACCCTACAATTGGATTGACTGATTTTAAGATCAGCCACAGGTAATCAGCAATCTTCAAAGCACTTTCGATGGATTGATCAAATAGATTCTGAAGGGAAGAATCTGTGCATTGACAGTTTTAAATGTAAGCACATGAACCTTCCCAATAACACAGAAGTCTTGTATTAATCTATTTAGAAAAATCATATTGATGAAATTGTAATTCATGGTTGAGTTTCAGGAGGAAAAAAAACACTCATTGTACATTAACCATATAAAAGTCATTTAAGTAACAAATTATTGTATTGTAAAAGACATGTAGAATTTTAAAACAATAAAGATTTGAACCTGTAAATGTGTGTGCCTTTTAAAGAAAATGGTAAGTTTTTTAATAAATTTGAGTGAATGCTGGAGAGTGTGATAAGATTATTCTGTATCATTACAGCGCAGAGAAACATCTGTATTACAGAAATGGTATTCTTTAATTTATATTACAGGATAAAGAAGTAAGTGTTTTCCTAAGAAGTAGAAATGAATTGTGGCAAACTCCCTTTGCTCCTAGAAGCAAGTGTTAAGCAAAGGCATTTCAATGAGTTATCAGGTTAGAGAGTTTTAGTTATGTTGCTATAGGACAATAATGAAATTATTCATTTGCAGAAAATATTTAACAGTATTCATGAAAGAGTTAAATGTGTTTTTTAAAGATGTGTATCTATTAGAACAGAAAGCAAAATGGAATAAACACAACAGTGTAAAAAATTCTTGAGTTTGACAACATATTAATAAATGAATGAATGATTTAAAATGTTTCTATTCAATCTGTACATGACTTCTTGGTACAAAAAAAAATGGCCATGTATTGCATCTTTCTTCATCTAAGAAGTAAAACTCTGGTGAAGATTTTTCCCCCTTAAGCCAAAAGAAAACACAAACATAGACTAAATTTGATTGTATTTGTGAAAAGTAACCAGACAAGTGGTTGTTGCAGTGTCATATAGACACATCCTGAAAGAATAAGGTATTCACAGACTTGAATCTGTGGCACCAAAATGTGCTAGTAAGTATGACAGCAGATCCATCCCTTTAATATTAGTGAGTTGACCTTTTAATGTTTAATTTCTTCCCAGTTAACAACAGAGAATTGTTGTCTAAGTTTACCAGTTTTGCCGATGTCAGTCATAGTTTAGGTCCTGAAAATTTTTTACTTCGAAACACCTTATTTAAAATTACAAAGCAAAATTTTATTTAAATTTAAAGGATCTTAACCATCCTAGATGTATTAGGTTGGTTTCACTTAATTTCTGAAAATGTTTTTCTGAAAATATCTTTAATATTCTATTAAGAGTTTAGCAAAGAGAACATGGAATATTACAATTAAATATTAACTTCTGTTTTCAAATAAGTATAACGAAGCATTCATTTCTGCAGTGTAAGTCAAAATTTGTTAGCCTAGGAAGGACTTTGAGGTGTTTATTTTATGGAGGTAAAAAAAAATTGGTCAGTTTGATTCATGTATGTTTCATGTTGAGATGTACAGAGAGATCCTCTCTTCCAACCTCCATATTTTACAAATGAAGGAAATATCTTAGGTGGAGTGTCTCACCCTAGGTGAAACAAGTAACATACAAACCCAGTACCTTATTCTGTCTCCAACCCCAGAACTCCTGCCACATCAGGCTGCCTCTGAGCTAAGGCCTAAACTCCCAGCAGTGAAGCTAAATGACTTTTTTAGTTGCCAGCAATTTAAATTATAGGCAAGAGGGAGAGGAATGGAGGAATAGAAATGAAATGGGGAAAAGAAGGAAATAGGCTGGAAAATGATACAATTATCACCATCAACTGCAACTTCATAGTACTCAAGTGTACTCCTAATTTGTTGTGATTTGACCTGAAACATATACAACCTTTGAAGTTCTTCAAAATTAGCCTGTAATGGCAGGAGTCATAAATCAATTTTTAAACCTGTATTTGTGTGAGAAAAATAACCATATATAACATTATTCTCTGAACATGAAGGATTTATATGAGTACCGGAAGGATCTATGATTTTGGCAGCATAGGGGAATCTGGATGTGGAAAATTTTTCCACCAGGGCAGTCCAAAAGAATGTAGCAGATAAGATGGAAATGCAAGTCACATAAAGATTAAATGACTTGTCTAGGGACACAGTGGATTTCAGATGAGACATATCCAAGTTATCCTGACTCCAAGGCCAGCACTCAGACTTCCTCCATAGAAAAGATTTACATACTTACAAAATGCTTATTTTTGAAACAAGTTCGGGTCAGAGGGCTCCAAAAGATTTGGAATAGAATAAGCATTTATATGGTACCTGTTCTGTGCCAGGTGTGCTACACGTTTTGCAAATATTTCATTTGGTCCTCACAACAACCCTGCAAACTAGATACTGTTATCTCTACATTACTGTTAGGGAAATTGAAGGAGACAGAGGTTAAGGTACTTGCCCAGGGTCATAGTGTCTGAGGCTGAATTTGAACTCAGACCTTCCTGACTACTGGTCCAGCTCTCTCTCCACTGTGCCAGATAGACTAATCTGCTTCAGCATAATTAATGGCAGTTTAGAGGACTGAGCAAAGAAAGGGAAAACAAAGTTCATTCATTTTGATTTTCAACAAGGGTAAAATAATGAAAAGATCTATTTTCAGTACCATGTGCAGGAATTTTATGTTAAGGAATACAATAATGATACATACAATGCTGACTATTGTATAATAGGAGTATGGAGTGGAAGGGCATCATCCTTTGTGACATGCTTCCATATGCCGAGTTCAACAAAGATCAAACTTTTGGTATTTCTGCATAGAGTTAAAAAATTTGTGAATTTTATTATTCCCCCTTTTATGAAATCTCAACATTGATCAATGTGAAGTTCTCTTTGGAAATTGTAGCTAATTTTCCTAAAATAGATGTAGATTTTCTTCTACTGACCTATATTTCAACATTAGCATGGCAAACAATACATTCTCAGTCACTTCACAAAGTCCTCTGGAACTTTTGTTTTTTTAAAATTAATGTAGTTGTGCTGGATTTGGAGTTAGATCCATGCTTTCCCCAATTCATATTTGTGAAGCTGACTTTTTTTGTACCCAAGTATAGTTTACATTTGTCTTTATTGTTTCTTATAAGCCAGTGCTGTAGACTTTCAAGATCCTTTTGGATCCTAATTTTGTCATCCATTGTGTTACCTTTCCATCCCAGCATTGTGCCATTTGCAAATTAGTGAACATACATACCATCTATACCTTTATCCAAGACACTAATAAAAATACTGATTGGCACAGGGCCAAATATAGGTCTATATGTGGCACTCCATATTTTCCTCATCTAGTTTAGGAATCTTATTAACAAAAGAAATTAGGTTAGACTGACACGATTTAATCTTGATGAAGCCACGCTGGCTCACTAATTGCTTCTTTTTAGATATTCATCAGGTATCCCATAAGTAATCTGTTCTAGAATTGCCCCAGTAATTGGAGTCCAGCTCACTGATCTGTTGTTGTAAACTCTGTTCTCTTCCCTTTTTTGAAAAACAAGATGTTTATCCTTTTCCTGTAATGTGGTGCCTCTCCTTTCCCAGGATCTTTCAAGTATCAATGACAGTAGTGTCAGTTTTTTTTTTTTTTTTTGGTAATTGGGGTTAAGTGACTTGCCCACTGTCACACAGCTAGTAAATGTCAAGTGTTTGGTCTCAAGTCAAATTTGAACTCAGGTCCACCAGACTTCAGGGCCAGTGCTCTATCCACTGCGCCACCTAGCTGCCCCAGTAGTGGCAGTTCTTTCAGGACTCAAGGATGTGGTTGATCTGGGCCAAGTTAACTTGGATTCATCCAGGGAAGCTAGGTGCCCTTCTTATTTGAATATCAACTCCCTGTTAGTCATTTTCTCTCTGTCAGAGTGTAAAGGCCATTTTTACAGAGAAGACAAATATAACAAGGATTGTGCATCTTTACCTTCTCTCTGTTGTCTGTTTTCATTGCTCCGTGTACCCTAAGCGAGGTCCTGTCCCTTCTTTGATACATGTTCCTCTCCTAATGCTACTAAAAAACAAAACAAAAAAAAATTCATTGGCTTCCTTCTCCAGTGTCATTAGAATAATACTTATTCTAAGTATTAGCATTTGTAGCATTTTTTTTTCTTTTTTTTGCTGAGGCAGTTGGGGTTAAGTGACTTGCCCACTGTCACACAGCTAGTAAGTGTCAAGTGTTTGGTCTAAGGCTGGATTTGAACTCAGGTTCTCCTGACTTCAGGGCCAGTGCTCTATCCACTCTGCCACCTAGCTGCCCCTGTAGCTTTATTTTTTACAGAAGGCTATGTCACTTTCTTACATTTATCTTCTTTGACCTGGTTTTGCTTCCAATTTCTGTACTTTTCTTTTAAAAACCTAGGTTGGTGAGTTCCCTGAGTATCCATGTCTATTTTCCTTCCTTATTGGAATTTTTTTTCTCTTTGCATCTTTTCAATTTCATTCCTCACAATCCGTCTTTCCCCTGATACCTTTGAGAGGTTACTTTCCTAAAATGTAGGGTTCATCTCAGAGTACGCCCAAGATTTCTTCTCTTCAATCATAACTCTCTGGTTTGGGTGTCCCTTCACTCTAAGATTCTTATCATCCCCCTCTCAGCAACCAATTCCTGTCTATTAATGAGAATGAGATCCAGAATAAAATTTGCCAGTGTTGATTCCTTCATCTTGAAGGATAAAATTATCATTAAGGCAAATCAATAAGTAAGCTTATTTCTTGATGCCCTACTTTTGGTAAAGAGAGATTAAGTTCAAGTAGAGAAGATGTCTGGATAATTGAAATCCTCTTGTTCCAGACTTGTGTTCTGTTCCAAATTCTTCAACTATTTTTTTTTGTACAGGTGTCTGATGACATCACTTCTGTCCCTCCTTACTCCTTAAGTGAAATAATCTCCATCATGCTCTGCTTCTCTGGTTTCAGGATTTCATCATATGTGTATAGTTTTTAAAATTATTATTATTGGAAGTAATCGGGATTAAGTGACTTGCCCAGTCACACAGGCCAGATTTGAACTCGGGTCTTCCTGACTGCAGGGCCAGTGCTCTTTCCACTGCACCACACAATTGTCCCTATATGTATATACTTTTTAAATGTGTGATACCCATAACACCTCCCACCCCTTTTACCTACCATATTTCTTGGAATAAGGTATATTTATCCAAAACCATGATGTAGTGTTGGATTTTATTTCACTAAATCTCAAAGATATCTTTGAAATTTAATCTGCATTCTTGCTTGTACACCTCTAGTTCCTTATCCCTGCCCCCCCCCCCAACTTTAGACATTTGAATATAGACATCTGTGTTTACCACTGGTTCTTTTCCTGAATTTTGTCTGCTGTGAATTTCTGAGTGTCTTAGGTGCTATTCTTGTTGTTATAATATCTAACTTGGGGGATATACATAGGCCATCCTATTCCTCCCCAATTTTTTTTTTTAGTTCAAGTTCCTTTAATTAGAATTGAAAGACAGCTGTCAAATATATGCTTTCCAACCTCTGTTAGTTGTCCAAAAATCAGTCATCCCAATATTTTAAGTAACCTTTTGTATCCTCCTTAACTCTTCTTGATTCTGCTGCTTTTTAAAGCAGAAAGTAGAATCCAGATCAGAGCCTGGACCTGGAAATTGTTCTTCAAACTTTCTTCAATTTCTCCCATTTTTTTTTCAAATTTCTTCTCATATTTAACTTCTGACCTACTTCACTAATCCAAAACCCTCCAGCTCG